TGGCTTATAGCAGCCAGCAGCAACTTCATTCCTCACAGCGGCGCGAATCGATAAGCGACGACCACCACGCAACACAATCTCTAACCCCCCCTTTTCTCCCCACTCGCGTCCTATGCTACTATCACCGGAACGGAATAGTTCGCGTACGTTGAACACCTCCCCATCCCCCCCCTCTCTCTCACCCTTCCTTCGTTTCTCACCCCCCCTTTCTTTCAGCGTGAAAAAAAAAACTTTTTTCCGATCCCTTATGTATTATCTTGAACCAATCAATTGCGTTCCAACACTTTCAACCAGACCTCCTCTGCATTCATTTTTCGAGAAAAATACTATACACTATTCTCTTATAGCGTGCGACATCCACGTGGAGTAATATATGGATATACGTAAGGTCATAAGCGTGACTGGGTATATAGACGCTATTATATATATACTATACAGCATGTGCGTCTCTATAACCCAAAAAGACTTGTTCTACATTATTGCAATAAGAATAATATGTATATACCGTCAGCAATAATGTCACACAATTTGAATAAGTGATCTTATTGAAGATTAATCTTCAATTTGGCGAAATTATACTACGATAAGAGAAATTAACTCCTTCGGTGTGTGTAGCTAAAATATAAGAATATGGTCCCAAAGTCTGTAAGCGTGAATAATTTTTCATGACACTTAGTACTAAGGGGATTTTGGGGTCGCTGATTACGAATCCGATGTTAGTTTTCTAAAAATTCAATATAGCGGATCCAATATATCACGGAAAAACTTTGTGCAAGAATCATTCCTAAATTTGTTCAGGAACTGAGGATATGAGAATAATTTAAGAAATCTTATTTATATTTTCTTTGAAAAATTCAAGACAACTTCCTAAACTCACTACAGAAAGTCTTGAACTTGTTTTAGAATAAATTTTTACGTTTGCGAGAAAAAAAATTTACTCTGGGAGGACTCGATCCCACGTCCTCGAGAGTCCAAAAACTCCGCTTTACATCTCTCAGCTACCTTAGCAGCTTATGGTATTATGCATTGGAAACATATTTGACGCAACCAATCCCTGCCTAGTGCTTGGTTACTGTACTGTGTCTTCTAAAACAGTTCAAGAAACTTTCAACGCCCAGTGACTGAGATATTCCAATCGCGGCATTAACAAGAAGTCTTCCAATGTCATAATAAAAATACAAGTATTTTCTTGAATGATTTTTGTATTTTTCCGTAAATTTTGCAGAATTTTTCTCATATCCTCAGTTCCAGAACAAATTTAGGAATGATTCTTGAACAAAGTTTTTCCGTGTAGCGGACGACTTTTTATAAGATTTATTGGATAAAATTCGTTACTCCTGGGTTACATGCAAACCAGCCTCCAATTTAGTGTTGTCTGTGTATACTCAAGAAAACACATATATGGTGTTACAATTCCATTCTTATAAATAAATAAATTATCACAGGCCAAGACTGATTTTGGTGCGGCAAATTTCAGACCTGTTTTTGATATGTTTTTTCATGCTGAACACAAATCCGTAAACGAAAAGTTCCTATCAGCTCTAGTTTTTGAGAAAAACCGGTTTTAAATGTTCAAAAATCGCGTTTTTGGCTAACTTTGAGTACCTCTAGCACTGAAATAAAAGGTCGTAGAACCTTCCACTTGGGCTTAAATTGAGGCTTAATGTTTCAACTATTATCCCCAAAAATGACCTACACTGTAAAACGAAAGGTATTAATTTAATACCGACTTTAGGTAGTAAATTGTCATTTGGTTCTATTTTGATACCTAAAATCGGTTCTATTTTAGTACTTTCTTTTTACAGTGTATGTTGAACCATAATCTTAAAGTCATTTGTTATCATTTTTGATTCGCAAATATTAATTTTGTAAAAGTTTGAGCGCGTACCTCTAGCAAAGAAAAAAGGATCATAGAACCTTTTATTTGAACTTAAAATAAATTTTGAACTTTAGACTACAAGCTCTAAAAATTATATTATTCACTAATAATCTCAAAATTGTTGGTAACCAGTATTTAACTACAGAACTTATTTGGTAATATTTGAATAACTCTAGTCAATAAAACCAAAGGTGAGTGAACCTTCTTGTTGAGCTTCAATTCAATTTATCCTTTGACTGTAGTTCATAAAAATTACATTGCTGCATCTTAACCTCAAGGACTAGATGTACGCGCTCAAACTTTTACAAAATTAATATTTAGGAATCAAAAATGGATAACAAATGACTTTAAGGTTATGGTGAAAGATAGGTCATTTTTGGGGATAATAGTTAAAACATTAAGCTTCAAATTAAGCCCAAGTGGAAGGTTCTACGACCTTTTGTTTCAGTGTTAGAGGTACTCAAAGTTAGCCAAAAACGCGATTTTTGAACATTTTAAACCCGTTTTTCTCAAAAACTAGAGCTGATAGGAAATTTTCGTTTATGGATTCGTGTTGGTCATGAAAAAACCTATCAGAAACAGGTCTGACATTTGCTGCACCAAAAAAGTTTGCTAATTTTGTTGGCCTGTGTTATAAATTGCATTGTTAACATTTGTGCCTTATTTAAGTAAACATTTTTAGTCAAATCTATTGATTTTAAAAATTTTTGGCGGACATATTGAATTAAAAATTAAGCATTTTGGAAATCTGACTTCAGAATCGTGATCAGTGACCTCAAAAACTCCAGAGTAAGAATTTTTGCGAATTTACGTTAAGATATGTTTTCTTGTTTGGTATAGGACGTGTATACACGTTATCCACACTCAAGAAGTTAAAGTATATCAATGGATTTTTAAAAATTTGCCTTTTCTTGAAAACAAGAAGGTAAAATGCTTTTTCCTTTATGGATAATTGATTATTGGCAAGATATACACCAGCTAAAACTTTTTTAGAGTTAAAATAATAAAAAAAATTTCATGTCAATAAATTAAATATGAGCACTTTTTTCACAAAAACTGTAACAGTACTTTCTCAGAAATTACAATCAAAAATGCAATTTCCATTTGGAAAATTAATAAACGCTAAAAAATACACGACCTAAGATTTACCAATCACGAAAATAACAAAAAAAAAGTATTTTAACATAACATATTTTACTCATTATGACAGCCGTTTGGCAGGTTATATATGTCACCAGACGTTTCGCAGTTTTGCCGAAAGGAGGAGATTGGCGCTGTTGCTAACCACCTGAAATACATAATCTACCAAAGGGCTGTCACAATCAGTAAAGCAGTATCAATATGTTAAATATTTAATAAATTTTTTTTTTGTTATTTTCGTGATTGGTAAATCTTAGGTGGTGAATTCTTTAGCGTTTATTAATTTTCCAAATGAAAATTGCATTTTTGATTGTAATTTCTGAGAAAGTACTGTTACAGTTTTTGTGAAAAAAGTGCTCATATTTAATTTATCGACATGAAATTTTTTTCATCATTTTAACTCAAAAAAAGTTTTAGCTGGTGTATATCTTGCGAATAATCAATTATCCATAAAGGAAAAAGCATTTTACCATCTTGTTTTCAAGAAAAGGCTGTTGAAAATTTTCCAAAATTTTAGTATCAATGTAGATGGCGCTGCCTCACTTGGACCAAGAATCGAAAATAACCTCAAAATTTAAATAAAATTATAATAATATTGATACTTGCAAGCCTGTAAAAAATTAATCATTAAAGTGGAAAATAATAGCGGTTGGCGTGCGAAGTGTGCAGGGAAGCCGTATTTCCCCTAGTATATATAATATTTAATATTATAATATAAATATGTTCACGTATCAAATAAATATGGCGGCAGTGTTAGTCATTGATAAATTTCAACCCTTTCTTGATTATATATATACAAGGGATGAGATTAATGAATGAACTAAATAAATAAATGGCTAACTGCCAATTTGAAAGGGAAATAAATTGACATTTAAGAGAAGTGCCAAAAAAGAGAATCTTTTTTTTGATGCATCATATGAAAACTAACTGTATGTACATAATATATTATTATGATTTCTTTTTTCTGCCCTTTTAGTTCAGTTAATCGATTTTGACATATTTATACAATTCATCTCTATATGTGATATAACATTTTGGGAAATCATTCCAAGTTCATTAAATTCTTTAAAAAAATTTTTAATGTAATATTTCATAATGGACATTATAATTCATTATAAATACTTAAAACTGCATATTTATTATTTTAATTAATTTTTAAAACATTTATTAATGTTTTGAATAATTTATTTAAAATTCATTTATAATTGAATAAAAATAATATTGACAATTTACTTAAATATCAAAAATCAATAGCCATGAATTAATAAATTATAATTAAATTTAGGTTTAGTGAATATTTTTTGAAAATAAATAGGTATCCTGCAATTAATATCCTGCTGTTTGACTCTCTTAATACATGAGTGTTAGTCGGGTTGTCATACTGTAGGCGCTTTGGTTACCGTAAATTAAAATAAAAGTATTTATTATTATCTATAAAATTATTTTAAAAAAGTGATTTTTAAATTTCATAATATTGTTACTAGTTTTATTTTTATTATCACTTACAATTTATATTACTATGTTAATTCATAAGGACTTTAAAATTCATTTTTAAATTTCCCGCTAAATTTATAATGCTCCTTAATCTGTATGTTGGTAGCACTGTCACTGAAATTTGTAGAATTCTCAAAAATGTAATTTCCAATTTTATAATTAATAATATTCTCAAAAGAATCTCGAATTAAAATACTCTTTACTATTATTTGTTTAAATTTAATCGTCGAAAAATTAAAAAACTTTTACACCTCAAATATATGTATACATTTAGCTGAGAAAGTGAGGCTACATTAAATAAATATAACTCGATTAATTAAATTAGCAAGCTTGTAATTAAATTTTCAATTAGATCAACAATTAATAATTTACAACATTAAATTAAAAAGAAAATAAACCAAATATTAAAAATTTATTATTTGAAATTCGACATATTTGGCGGGATAAAGCAAAAACGTGAAATAAACTGGCGCCCTAGATGGCGCCTTCCTCCAACAGTGAAAACAGAAAACCGAACCGGTCATGGTGGTAACGATCGTGCAGCGCACTTGCGTTTCTGAATTTTCCCAGTGATATCGCAATAATCACATTTATCATTTAGCAAACAACGTGTCAGCCGCCGGTTTCAATAAAAATGGGCGCCTATTTATCCGAACCGATAACCGAAAAAGTGTCCAGCGATCAGGCGGGCAAAAATATTGCGTACGGCGCGAGTTCAATGCAAGGCTGGCGAATTAGTCAAGAGGTAAGTGATAAAATTCTCAAGTGCTTGCATTACACCGTTAATCCAACTTACATCCTGAACAAAGTTTGTCTCATTAAAAAAATCACTTGAAATAATGTAAAAATTTCTCTCATCTTTAATTATACATAATACAATTCCATTTACCCTTCACTTTTACCGCTTCAACAAAACTTAATACCAAATTGAGCGGTTTATGAATCGTTTGGAAATATACACATACATATATACATACATGTATATACATTACGGTTTACGCTACAAAGATGCCATTCTGCCGCGAACTTGTATTTTTTCATTGCCTTTACCGGCTAATAATTGTCTTCATCTATTTATTTCATCAAATTTAATGACAATTTAAAAAATTATTCTTTAGAAAATAATCAATAATTTTTTCAATTAATTTTCCATTTGAATTTTGCAAAATTTCTTTAGGCAAAAATCATAATGGAATTGGTCATGCATTTGCCGCCAGAGTAATTTGCATTTAAGAAAAATAAAAAGTTAAATTTTTCATATATTTAAAAATGATGAGTGGAAATTTTCCAGTTTAATTTGATTTTTCAATTATTTGTAATACATGTGAAAATTGTGATATTTGATTAATTTGAAAATTTACATTTCACCTAACATAACCTCTATTTTGATAATCTCGTGTTCTTGTACATTATTATTTTGTAATGTCGCCTCTAGTTGTAGTACACACGCACATTTTGTCTTTCATTTTGAAAATTGAATAATTCATAAATTCAAATATTATATTCTATTATTAAATAATTTATTTTATATTTATAAAAAAAAATTTGTTTCATATATAAATTATATATATTATTTTAATAATTTCTTTTTTTTTGTAGTTATAAGAAAAAATCAGATGAACGGACAAGAAGAAAAGTTAGTCCAACTTCATATTTTCGTATTTTTAAATGTTAAATAAAAAAAAAAAGTTTTTAAATTAATTTTTCAGTTAAAGAGTGAATTTTATTTTTTTTTGAATAGTTGAAAAAAAACGATTATCAACTTGAGGTTATGTTACTTAAATTGTTGTTCTTATTCGTTAGCAAATTGTAATTTATACACAAATTCGAATTTTTGGTAATTCAAAATATTAAAATATTTTTAAAATATAAATTGTGATTTTTCGTATTTATTTCAAGATATAAAAATATCTTGCTTAAGATTCAAATTCAAACAAAATTTTATTAATTTATGTATTTATTGATGATTTAAATTAGAAAATTATATTTTATAACAATTAATGTTTTGATTAAAAAAAGCTTATTTAAATTAAATTGTTATTTGTTGCCTTACTCTTTGAGGACCAAATATTTTTTTACAAAATCTCGATTTTTAATTATTATTTTAATTAATTAATAATTATATTATTTAATCAGTAATTATTAAATTATTATTAATTTAATTAGGTATCTAAAATACAGAGTTTGGAATTGGAAATTTTTAATTTGCTAGATTAAATATAAACAATGTTTATGATCAACGATTTAGAAAAAAAAAATTTTTTTATGCAAATTAACTGTAAAGAATTTAATTTTTAACATTTAAAACCACTAAAAAGTTGAATTTTAATAAAAATTACAATTTTCTGATGCAGAAAGAAACGATTTGGTTAACATAACCTAAAATTTTATGAACCAAAAGTTCTAAATTTTCAAATGAACGAAATATTTTTTTCAATCTATAAATATTATTAAAAATTATCATGGCAATATAAAATAAAACATTAATTTAAACAATTATTAAATTAATAACTTCTTTTTAGATATTTGAAACAATATTTTGTAATAAAATTCGTATTTAAAAAAGTTGCAAAAAAAATTTCGTTCATTTGAACGTTCAAAACTTTTGGCTCATAAAATGTTTCTTACTGTGCAAATTTTTATCTTAATTCAAATACAATTTTGAATAATTGAAAGTTTTGAAACATAAAATTGCTCACGCACTTTTACTGCGGAAAACTTTTAAATTAAAAATTATTTTTATTTTATAAAAAAAAAAAATAATACAAAAATGTAAAGTTGGGGTAATTTTTGTTTAGACTGTCTGTCCGATTTTTTTCTTAATGAATATTGTTTTGTAAATAAATTTTCTACTTTTAGGATGCTCATAATGCGTGCCTTGAATTCGACGAAGATGTTTCACTATTTGCCGTGTACGATGGACACGGAGGTCATGAAGTGGCCGCCTATTGCGCTCGAAATCTACCAGATTTCATCAAAAATACTGAAGCCTATAAAAATGGTGATATTAAGCAAGCTCTCATTGATGCATTTTTAGGTTTCGATGCTACTCTCGTTACACCGGAAGTGATTGATATATTGAAAAAAATAGCCGGTACAAAGGATCCAGACAAGAAAAAAGATGATCAAGACGAATCTGGTAAATTTTCTTTCACTTTTTATTTCACATGTTTTTCCTTTTCTTCAAAACAAAATTTCCCCTATTCCCCTTTTTTGTTTTGGAAAATTTTATTCTGTGAAGCCTGAAATTCTAAAATAAAAAAAAAATTTTCTTTTTCAAATTTCAATACTTTATAATAATTTTAGACTCTAAATAATTCAGGGTGGCCACCTAACCGGAAGATTGAAAAAAAATTGTTTTCTTATGAACAAACCAGGCTTAAAATTTTTTGTAAAAGAAAGTAGTTTTTTGAAAATTTAAAAAAATCGAAAAATACAAAAAGTTTTAAAAAACAGATTTTAACTTTTACATTACGAAAAATAAAGTAAATTTTAATTTTTTGATGAAATCTTTGAAAAGTTCAATTAAAAACACAAATTTTGAAAAAAAAACTTTAAAAATTGATGCATTTTTAATGAAGTTATATGCGAATTTAAAAATCAAATTTTTAATTTAAAATCGCTTAAAATTTAATTATTTGCAAAAATTTCAATTTTTTTTTAAAATGATTTTTATAATATTCTTTGAAAATTCAATTATCTGAAAGCATTTTTCAATTAAAAACTTTTGGAATTCAATTTTTTTTTGTTATTTCTAATAAATTCTTCATCAACAGAAATCAGTGAAAATTTCTTTTATTATAATTATTATTTGAAATTTAACACAATCTTTTGATATTCAATTATTTTCAAAAATTTCAATTTAAAAGCTTCTAAAATTTTTTGTAATTCAATAATTTCAATTATAACTCTCGTGAAATTCAATTATTTTTTAATAAATTTTATAATATTCTTTGAAAATTCAACTATTTAAAACAATTTTTCACTTTTGAGTACCAGAAATTATCAAAAGATTTAAATTAAAAAATCACTTGAAGTTCAATTAATTTCAAAAATCAAAATTGTAAATCTTTGAAAATTCAATTACTATTAAAAAAACTGTTATCTAAAATTTTTTGATAAATTATTTTTAGTTGTGTAAAATTTAATTATTGTCTGAAAATTAACAAAATCTTTTAAAATTCAATTATTTATAAAAATTTCAACTTTAACTCTTCCAAAATTATTATTATTATTTAAAAATCTGTAAAACTTGATTAAGTATTGCCTGAAATTTTTTTTGACCATCAAAACTAAAAACTATGACAAAATTTTTATTTCGGATAAATTGCTTATATCAGACTTGAAAAAATTTTTAAAATGAAACTTTAAGAATTTTTTTTTAGAAATTTTTTCTACTCAGTTCGATTCTGAAATATTCGAAATAAATAGATAACGTAAATCTTGAAAGGTTAAAATTTCTCTGATTCTTGAGAATAAAAAATTCTAACTTAATTTTTCTTTTATCTCTGCTTTTTTTAGATGAAGAGGAAAATATCAACAGTCTTTGTATGGAGGCAGCAATGCCATTGGAACAAGTAATGGCGAAATATCAATCCGACAGTCAACATCCACAATCGAAGAATGAAAAAAATGAGATTAACAATCGTATTTATTCGTCAAGTCCATATTTACGAAGTCGAAAGGGTAAAGAAAAAGCGAGTTGTTCGTCGTCTGGTGCTGGTTGTTCATCATCGTCGTCATCATCATCGTGGAACACAAATGAAAGTGATGTAAGTAGCTCGAGTCAACAATGTGGTTCAAGTACAAGTTCAACCGATAGGAAAGAATGTGAAACTGCAGTCAGCAGTGAAGCGGAACAAGTATTAGATTCAACAACAAGTAATGGTGAAATTGCCGAAACATCTGAACGTGTTGCTTCCACACAAGATACGGATACAACGAAATCATCATCGGCTGATATGCCCGACAGTTCTGAGGATATTAAAGATAAAGTGTCGCCTAGTAAAACATCACAAGCTGAATTACAAAGTACAAATGATACGGAAATTAATGGTGGTGATGGAAGCGGTGGCAGTGGTTCAAAAGACAATTTTGATAATGCTGATAGCAGTAATAAAAGCGGCATTGACAGTGCAATCAGCAGCTCTTGTACACCAGTGGAAAATGGCGAGACGGAGGAACAAGCTAAAATAAGTAGCAGTAACACTCGGAAAAGACCGAGTGCAATTGAACTTTATAAAAGTTTATTACAGGAAGATGCTGCACGAAGAATGGAGAATCAAGATGAGGAAGATGACGATGAAGACGACGACGACGATGAGGAGGATGACGAGTCTTTTGTTGGAAATCGAAAAAAGTAATTTTTCTCACTTTCTTTTTATTTTGTTTTTTTTTTTTTTTTTGGAAATTTTTTTATTCAACTTTTTTTTCAATTTTCTAGGAAAAATATACTTAAACAATTCGATGAAATGGATGACAGCGACGATGACGACGATGAGGATGACGAGGAGGAGGAGGAAGACGAAGATGATGAGGATGATGAAGACGACGAGGACGAGGATGAGGACGATGATATAAACATGAATATGACCGAAGAGGTGAATAAAATTAGAATATTTGAAAATTTTTATCTCGATAGTTAAACATATTTACAGGCCTCGGATTATACATACTTTATCGAACTTTTTTTTCGACTCATTTCAACAAATGACGACTTTTTCGACTTATTTTACAAAAAAATTAAAAAATAATTAATTTTTCTTTGCAAAATTAATTATTTTCAATAATTTTTAAAAAATTCTTCGAACATTGAATTATTTAAATTATTATTCAATTAAAAATTTTCTAAAATTCAGTTATTGTCTAAAATTCAGGTCTCGGATTATATGACTTTTTTTCGTAAATACAACTTTTTTTTTTACTTATTTTAATAAGATTCGACTTTCTTTTACATTCTTTACAAAATTTTTAAACAAAATACATCTTTTTAGTATACAATGCAGATCTTCTATATTTTAATTATTTAACAAATTTTTAACAAAAATTCTTCTCTAAATTAATTATTTTTAATAATTTTAATTTTAAATTGGAACAAATTGATTAAATTAGACTTTAAAAAATTTTTTAAATGGAACTTTAAGAATTTTTTTAAAAAATTTGTATTATTGAATTAAAATTTTGAAAATTTATTCCAAATAAATTTTATTGATAATATTCTTATAGAATTATTCTTATTAAGAAATTAATATAATGAATTTAATGTATAATAACATTAGTTATTTAAAGTAAAATATTTATTAACTAATTATTGAATTTATTTAAAATAAAAAAATCGACTTTTTTGTGCCTTAAAGTTGATCCAAGGCCTAAAAATTCTTTTTAAAAAGTCTTCAGCAATTCGAAATTTACAAAAAAAAAAAAATTGAATTCAAAATTATCTGAAATTTGATTAATTCTAAAAATCTGGACTGTTGCCCTCTAGAAATTTAATTATTTTTTAAATGTCTATTTATAATTCTTCAAGTTAATTATTTTTAATAATTTTAACCAAATTTTTCTAAAATTCAATTATTATTGTATGTAATTTGTAAAAAAAAATCTGCAATTCAATTTTACAAAAATTTCTATTTAAAATCTTTTAAAATTCAATTATTTCTAAAAATCTTAAATACGTAACTTTTCCAAAACTGAATTATTTTTAAAATTATCACAAATTTTTCGCCAAAAATTTTATCAACTTTTTCTAAAATTCAATTATTTAAAACATTTTTATGTTTTAAAAGTTTTTATAAATCTTATTAAAAAGTTCTTCCTTTTCCCATAAAGTACCTTATTTTTAAAAAGTGGATGAAATTTTTTGCTAAAACAATTTCAACTTCAAAATTTTTAAAAAAATTCTGAATTCATAAATAATTTACATAAATCAGACTTGTAATTTTTTTTTTTTTTTTATTTAAATTTTTTTTAAATTTGTGAAAATTTGTTTCGGCCCGATTTTGAAATATCATCTAAATAAACGATGCTGAAGTCCACAACGTTTATGATCAACGATTAGAAAACAAATTATTTTTTTAAGACGAAAAATTATAAAGTTTTTGATCAAAAAAAAAAAAAAAATGTTTTTTATAATTTTTTTAATAATAAATATTGCAGGAAATATCATTGAGACGAAAATTCATTGAATTTTTCATTAAGAAAAATATTTCTTTAAAAATCGTTGAACATAAACGTAAACTTCAGCATTGTCTAAATAAAATTTCATGTTAAAATCATATACAATTATTCTTATTAAAGAATTATTAAAATTTATTTTTAAAATCTAATAACAATTATTAATAGAAATAAAATATTTATTGGACTATAAATTTATTAAAATTTTAAAAATCGACTTTTTCTTCTAATTTAAATCGACTAAAACGATTTTTTTTCGCCTTAAAGTCGATCCGAGGTCTGTATTTAAAAACACTACTAGGAAAAGACAGATAAATTTAGTAAATAAAAATTAATTGAAGTCGATTTTTTTTCACACATGCCCTTAAAATCACTGATATAATTAAAAAAAATAATAATTTTGTCTTAATATGAAAAAGATATTTAATAATTATGAAATAAAATGTTGAAACAGCCTGGATCAGACAGTGGTTGTACAGCTGTGGTGGCCTTACTCAAAGGTAATGATTTATATGTGGCAAATGCGGGAGATTCGAGGTGTGTCTTGTGCCGTGATGGCGAAGCAGTTGAACTCAGCTTCGATCATAAACCGGAAGATCAACCGGAAATGGATCGAATAATAAAAGCAGGTGGCAAAGTAACTGCCGATGGACGAGTGAATGGTGGACTCAATTTATCCCGAGCAATTGGCGATCATGCATATAAACAAAATACTGAATTATCAGCTCAGGAACAAATGATTTCGGCACTCCCTGATATTAGGCATATGACAATTGATTTGGAAAAAGATGAATTCATGGTACTTGCTTGCGATGGAATTTGGAATTTCATGACAAGTCAAGATGTCATTCAATTTGTACAGACACGTCTCAAGAAAGGATGTCAAAATGTTTCCAAAATTTGCGAAGAGGTTCGTGTTTCATTATTATTTTTTTTTTTGTTCTTTCACTTTTAATGAATTGACAAAATCGATATTTTTTCCTCACCAAATTTGATGGGAATTTATAATTAAAAATTAAAATCAATTAAAATTAAAAATTATTAAAAAAAAAAAAAAATTAAAACAAAAACAATTTTTTAAAATTTGTAAATTTGACTAAATATTTCTTTTTTACGTCAATTTAAATTGAAATCAAAAAGAAAACATTGATTTTCAAATTTTTTACAAAATCTTTTTTGATGTCAAAAACAATTTTTTTTTTAAATTGATGAAAACTTACAAATTCGACATTTCGCAACATAAAAAGGATTAAAAAAAAATGGTAAATTTTTTGCCTGAAATAATTTTACTCTATTCATTTAATTTTAACTTATTTAAAATATTCATTGATTTTTGAGACTTTCTAATTCTTTTTTCCAATTTTGTTGAAGTCAAAAACAATTTATTTTTAAAATAGTGAAAACTTAAAAATTCAACTAAAATGAAATTTCACTTGTCAATTGAAATTGAAGGAGAAATTGGGATTTACCGTAATTATATTTTTTACACTTTGCATCATTGAAAATTGCCTTTTGATAAAGATAAAAAAAATTTTGTGATTAAAAAACGATAAAATGTTTAGTTTGTGTTACTGGAATTGTTTCATAATCTCAGAAATTTTTAATCTTTATCCAATGGTAATTTTTAATAGTTCAATTTCTGTCATAATTTATAATATTTTTCATTACTTAACTAATATTTTGTTTTTATGATTTTGAATAATCAAAATTTGAAATTTTTTTAATAAAAAAAATTGTCAAAAATTATTTTTGTTCAATTTTTTAAAAATATGAAATATGGTATTTAGATTCTAAATTAAATACGAAGCTGAAGTACGCAACGTTTATGATAAACGATTTTTAAAGAAATAATTTTTTTAAATGAAAAATTCTATAATTTTTCCTACCTAATTTTTATTAATCAACAAATTATGACAAAATCTATGTTTTAGATTTGAAAAAAATTCATTTTTTTTGCAACTTAATAAATAAATACAAAAATAAAAAAAAATTTGAAAATATAAAAATTGAAAAATGTTCAAAAAGAATATTTTTAAAAAAAATTTCAATAAATAGAATATAATTGTAAATTCTAAATAATTCCAGAATTTATAGTAATTAGTGATTTTGTTTCTAAATGAAAAAAAAAATGTGATCATTTCAAAAATTATTAAATAATTAATATAATTATATTTGAGGAGCAAATTTTCAAAACTTGATAAATCCATTTTTCAAAAAAATGGAGATAACCATAAATTTAATATTTTAAAGACCTCACAAATCGATCTGTCACTGTTAAATTTAAGAAAAAAAATTTATTAATTACAAATTTTTTATTTAAAAACTTGACATAACCAAGATGATTTACAATTTGTATGTTTTATATTAGAAAAAATTACCAAAACATGTAAATCACTCAATTATGACAAAGTTCAATTAGAAACATAACGTCTTGAATATAAAAACATTGTTATAGAAATAAATTATTATAAATTTTTTATTTTAAAATTAACTCTAGTGGTTATGTGTGGAAAGTCATTTGTTTGAATTTCTCGAAATAAGAAAATATGGATTTATCAGGTTTTGAAAACTTGCTCCTCATTTAATCAATTATATAAAATAAAATGCATATTTTTTATTTTTATAGCTTTTTGATCATTGTCTCGCACCAAACACATTTGGCGATGGAACAGGTTGCGACAACATGACAGCGGTGATTGTTCTATTTAAATCATCATTACCAGTAAACGATGTGAGCAATTCAACAAGCGAACAACCAGTGACCACGAAGAAAAGGCCCGTTACACCCGGTTCACCAGAAGCCAACAAGGATTGTGCGACGCATGACACTGTGATAGATGAATGCAAGCGTCAAAAAACTGAAGCTGTCTGAGAAAAAAAAACGAAAAAAAGAAAAGAAAGAAAATGTCTCGAATTTGAAGAGAAAAAAAAAACAAAAAATAATTGACCTACTGATGTTTTTCAAGTGAATATATGAATTTTTTTTTTTTTTTTTTTTTTTGTTTTAAATTACGTACAACTTTTGCATATGATACAGTAACTATATTTAAAAAAAAAGAAAAAAAAACATCTTGTAGTTACGCAAAAATAGTGCATGATTTTTTTTTTTATAAAAGCACTCGATAGACTGATTTATTGGAACGAACGTGAAGTGATAAGAGTTTTTTTTTCAAAAACTTGGATAAAAAAAAACCGAACGAATCCAGTTATAATCATGATATTATCGAATTCTTATACGGAATTCAAATTTTTTTTTTAAATCAAATTTTTTACAATTTTTAATACTTTTTTTCAAAAAAAAAAAAAAATTTTCTTAAATTTGTATTTTTCTTCATTTACGTGAATTTTATCACATTTATGTATTTTATTTCATAATTTGTGAATTATTTATTCATGTGCATGAATTTTTCTTTTTTTTCATTAATTTTTTTTCCGTGCATTAATTGTCTTTGTATAGTTTAAAAATTTTTTTTTAATGTAATTTATTCATAACAACAAATCTGTTTTTTTGTAATTCATGTAATAATAATAATAATAATAATAATTCTAATAATAATAATAATTATAATAATAATGACTGAGACAAAATATTGACTGGATTGTGATGATCATATGAAGAAACAAAAAAAAAAAAAAAAAAAAAAAAAAAAGTAATTGTTATAACGACGAAAACTTAATGTAAACAAAATACCATTTATTTTTTTGGTTTAACTTTGATTTCAGTGGAGGACACCTTTATGTATTTGTAGATGATAAGTAAGAGTTAAGCATACATTTAAAATACGGCAAAGTTAAGGCAACAAATTAGCGGCAAAACTATCAACTGTATAATTTATTGTTTTATTCACATCGACGTCATAACACTAGATTTTAAATAATAATAATAACTATTTATCGTTCCGGTGGTTAAATAAATTTATTTTTTTTTTCATTGGTTATGGAAATAATATTTCGGAGAGAAAAAAAAGAAAACAACAGCACAAAAAAAGCTCGTTCAGTAATAATCTTAACATTTCACAATTTTTGTATTTTGCATTTATATAGTTCCCTAGATATTCTCATCACTATTGTTAATTTTAGCATATTTTTTTTTTAATTTTTTTTTTTGTAATTTCACTATCATTCCCAAAGCGTGATTTTTTTTATATTATAACAATATATTTTTTTTTTCTCAAAAAAGGCAAGCACAATTAAAATCGTGTAAAAAAAGGAGATTTTTTTTTTTTATTGAATTAATCGTGAAATTTACGATTATTTTATTACCAGACTTCTTTTTTTTTTGTGTAATGTACTCTTGTTTTTTTTTTTTTAAGGTACATTAAATGTGCGATTGTACATATTTCTAAACATAAGCTGTAAGATTTATAATATTTGTAATCCAATACAAACGATTAATTTCTTATTTTCTTTTTTTGAATAAAGTTTATTTTTCAATCCCTAGTTACGGTTTTATATATATAAAAAAAATGAAATAATTTAAATATAATCATTTAAAAAGAGAGAAAAAAAACAGAATAAAATGCTCCTCTGGCTTTGATTAATTTTTTATGTCTAATTCACCGAGTCTTTAAGGATAACTACGAATAGTTGTACTAAGCACGCAATACCAAAGTGACGATTTCAGTTTTTTTATGCATAAAGAAAATATGGAAATTCGACTTCTTAAAAAACAGGAATATATTATTATTATTGACCGATGTGACGAGCTCTAATGTAGAACACATTAGGTTTTTGCTAGACAGTAGTAATTTATTGTACACCGAACTTTTATATATAAACATTGATTACTGTGAAACTATAGTTATGTAACAATATATAATTATAGTTCTATAAAGAAATATACGCTGAGAAAAAAATTAATATTTCCAAATAATCCTTGATTTTTAACTTAATATTAATTTAAACCAAATTTATCAATGTTTGAAATTAAATTCACTGGCGTTATAATAATTATTTAATCTATTTTTAGTAAAAATTAAAAAAAATTTTTTTGGTTTAAATAAATATTGGATAAGTCAACGAATTGAATGAAAAAATTTTTATTCAAGTGCATAGTTTTTTTTTTTTTTTTTGAAAATATAAATACAATTATTATTGTTATGTAACTATAATATTTACAGTATTCAAGAAACTTTTCGATTGCTTCTTAATTTGTATAGCTATATGTCGGTATACATAAATATATATGACTATACATGCAAAAAAAACAACCAAAAAAAAAAATGTAATGAGTTATGTCGGAAAGGAAAATTTTGCGGAAAAAAAAATTTGTAAATAAAAATTGAAGCAGTCTGAAAAGTATTATTGACTCATATATTTACAGTGTAAAACAATTATATAGAATCAGACAGAAAATTAAATTAACTCATGTGCCTTTCATGTTCAGGGGTCGACAGTCTCCAATAATTTTTGTGTACATTAGATGCTGTCTCATTTCATGGAGATTATATAATTATGTCTTCACCCGAAAAACACTTCGATACTATATATTAATTATAGATGCAAAATTTCTTGATCAAACCTATGTACAATATGCATATATCCGTTTCGTAATACATGTATGTACCATGAAGACAAAGTATAATATGTCTTTTTTTTATTTGCATTTGTTTTTTTTTTTCGTTATATTGACATAATTAATAGGGTAGATGTACCGGTTTTAGCCACTTTAAGGATTTACGTATTATTTTTAGCACATCTTTTTTTTTATAATAATTATATAAAATAAGTTACTAGTGCTTGTTAATAGATCACTTAGTGTCCCTAATTTTTAAATTTGTTGTTCTTGAGAGTAAGAAAATTATTTAAAATTTAATAAATTAAAAAATATCAATTTTCCCAGTTTTTGACACTTTTGCACCAATTGTGGTCATGCTTGGTTCTAGTTTTGGCCAGTTTAAAAAATTAATTTAAAAGTCATACAAATGTGGAATAAAATCAATTAAGTAAAACAAATATAATATGTAATATTGACTACTTTAGTCTTATTCTACAGAAAATTCCACTTAAACTAATAATAATAAAAAAGCAATGATATTGGAAAGAAATGTCCTGTAAGTGATTCTGAAAAGTATAAAAAAAATTACAATATTCTATTTATTATTATTGAGTAAAAACTTTAGAATATTATTATTTTATATTAAAACACTTTCTTAAATTTTTATTTAAAAAAATATTTACAAATACTTATTTAAACCTCTTTAAATCAAAAGTCAAATATCTCTGGCAACTTTTTTTAAAAATGTTTTTGTAAATATAATTTTTATAACACTAACTTTTTATAAACAAATTATTTATATTTCTTTGCAATTGATGTAATGATTTTTCTTCGATTTAATATTTCTTCATTATTTATCTTCGAAGTTAGTTTTTCTTTTTAATTTTTTTGACGTTTTGTTTAAGGTTATAGACACTTTTTATAAAACGAACATTTATTTATATTGTGAATTTTTTATATTTGTTAATTATAATTATTATTTTATATTCATTTTCTTATTTACCATTGATTAAAACAGATTAAAAAACGTTAATAACTATTCTTTCATGGAGGTGGCCAAAACTAGTTTAAAGTTATAACCACTTTTGGTCATGTATGGCCAAAACTAGTTAATAAACGAAAATTTGTACCTGTTTTGGCCACCCCATTTTTTTTTTATTAAATAACAAGATTTTAATAAAATATTTTATACGTACTGAGTAATTTAAACATTTTTATGAATAATCTTCAAGTTTTTATTATTATTTTTACTCCTTTAAAAGAAATTAATGACTTTATGAACCCGCTTAGACTTTATCATTAGAAAATGGCCGTTTTTTGACGTCTTCTGAAAATTGTTTTATTTTCATGTCAAATAAATCAAACTATTATATTTCTTTAATACATAGGTAAAAAAAATATATCCGAAATGAATTTTTATCAAAATAAATACTATCAAGTTAACAGGAGACTAATAAAATCAATAAAAATGTGAGGTTGGCCGAAACCGGTGTCAAGGTCAAAACCGGTGCATCTACCCTAAGTGCTCAAAAAAATCACATTTTTCCCCCGGTCTGTTTGACCGTTATTTTATTCCTTCACTATAGAATTTTTTAAATGTGTTAAGTGTGTATATAATTTTTTTTTATTTTATATTGAAAAGCTATTTTCTTAATATTTTTGTTTTAATTTTTCCTTTTTATATACATAACCACAAACTCCAAATAAAATTAAAATTTTACTAAATTCTGAAAGATCCATTTTCAAAAAAAAAATAATAAAATTTTTTATCCAATTATTACTAACACAATAACACATTTTGCTCTTTGAAAAATAACCTGTTTGTTTTTGTTTAAAAAATATAACAAACATTTTATATATACTTATAAATTTTGAAAAACCCTCCTACGGTTTAATTAAATTGCAGAAATCGCGGTACCAAAATGGTTCAATTTACCCTGCATAGAAAATTTTATATTTCAACATGCTTTAATAGTTTTTTGGGTCGCTGATTACGAATCCGGTGTCGATTTTCAAAAATTCAAAATGGCGGATCCAATATGGCGGACATTTTACAAAAAGCTTTAAAATTCATCAAATTCGTTTAAAAATTGTTACTCGGGGGTTTTTGGGATCGCTGATTTCAAATCTGATGTCAGTTTTTCAAAACGATAAATTAATAAAAAACTTTTTTTAAATATCTGCCATATTGGATCCGCCATTTTGAATTTTGAAAAACTACCCTCCAATTCGTAATCAGCGACCCCGAAAACCCCCGAGTAACGATTTTCAAGTCAATTTGATAAATTAAAAAAAAATTTAATATCCGCCATTTTGAATTTTGAAAAACTGACATCGGATTCGTAATCAGCGACCCCAAAAACCCCCGAGTAACGATTTTAGTATGTTTTTTTTAATAAACTTTCTGATTAAATGCACATTATCCACTTATTGAAAAACTTACTTGTTTAGCTAATATTTAAAGTTATGTAACTTTGACGAAAAAATTTTTCATCATTGCAAACCAATATTTTTTAAAAGCATAGAGCATTAGCTTCAATTTCCAGTTTGGATCATGTAATTCCGATGTATTGTTAACGAGTTATTAAATATTCAGTTACCCCGAGTATACTCGGGGTTAACCGTTTTGGCACAGTCAATTTACCCCGAGTTAACTCGGGACAAACCGTAGGGAGGTTACAAACATTCAATTCAAAATTGTAGGCAATCTTTGAAAGAGCAAAATGAGTTATTTGTAAAAATTGAATAAAAATTATAATTGCGTTTACCACGTTTAAACAAAAAAATTAAATAAATTATTAACAACAAATTTTATTATTTTTATTAAAAAGAAATTTTTTTTTAAAATTGTGCAACTTAATCTTTTACAAAATTTAATAAAATCAATTTTAATGATAGTTTTTGTTAAAAATAACTTTTTAGTTTGAGGTTATGTCATAACGAAATGAAATATTAGTAGCGGTCTCAGAGACCGCTATAGTAGTTTAAAGGTAAAAAATACATATTTGTCGTAAAAAATAAGTCAATTTTCTTTTTTTTAAATTTGTACAATTTTATAACATTTCTTTTTTATTTGCCATGATTTTTAGTACAAAATAAATGCATTCCAGTCTAGATATATGATTTTTTTTGGAACAAAATATAAATGAAAAATTTTGGTCATTTTTTTTAAATAACAAAAATTTTATTACCATAATTTTTTTTTTTTATAGAATTTCATAGAATTTTTGTCCATAAACTTCATAGCAATGAGAAGTTTTTTCTGTGCGCAAATAAAATTTTACCCCCCCCCCTCTTATGAAAATTTACACTGTTGATATGTTTTCTGTGATTATTTAAATTGAATTTAAAATTATTCTATTATTAAAATTTAAAAAAAAATTTTTGACAATTTTAGATTTTTTTGAAAAAATGAAAATTTAAAAAATTTTAATATAATTATATATATATATTTTTTTTTTTAGAGAATAATGAAAAGAATATAGAAAAAACTTTTTGACAAAAATAATAAAAATTGTGAAATAAGTGTATAAATTTAATTTGAAAAAAATAATATACACATTTAAATATTATTCGGAGAAAATTGAATTTCTAAGTATTCAATTTTTTGAAATATTTATTTAAATAAAAATAAATTTCTGGAAAAATTATTTTTTATTTATTAATTTATTTATACAATAATTATTAATAATTTTTTAATTTAACAAATATTAATATGGACAGAATTGTCAACGGTCTCACAAAAAAAAATATAAATTTCTAATTTACTGCAAGATGTTCAATAATTTCTAATTGCTCTATTTCAATTTTTTTTAAAGAATCATATTGAACTCGAAGTCTTTCCAGTTCTATGGACTTTTCCATAATTAAAGCCTAAAATTAAAATTATTTTTTTTAATTCAAATTGAGATCATTTTTAAAATGTTATAAATTTAAAAAAAAATGAATTTTCCCTATTGGGATCGGCTAAACTGCAATACGCCATCTGGTGGGGACCCATTCTCTCCCTCCATTTTCTTTCTTTGTCTCTCTTCAATTAATAGGTTAGAAAGAGTAGAAAAAACAAAATGGAGGGAGAGAATGGGTCAAAGTTACTAGATTGTTACTAGACCACCGTTCCCAATACCTGCATTTGTTGCTTTCGTTCTTCTCGTTCTTTGGCAACAGAACGAAGTAAATTACGTGCACCAATCACTTTCATCTTTTCCTTGTCCACTTGTTGCCCTACATTGTCCAAAATGTTAATAAACTCATCAGTACTCTTCTTGAATTCCGTGATTTCTAAATATAATAATTACAAAAAATAAAATATTATTTTATCAAATTAATTTACATTTATATTATAATTATATTATTGGAATATTTTTAAATTTCTCAACCGGTATTTTTATAATTCAAAAATTTGCCACTAGGTGTCAGAAATGTTCGATCGGTAAATTGGTATATAAAATGATACAAACTTGCTCCTGATTTTCATGAATATTATATTATTATTTAACAATTAAACAAGTGACAAGGATAAGATATTAATTGTGTAAAAATATAACAAGGTGAGTTGAATTTTTTAATGTAATACATTTCTTTGTCCACTTTCATATTATTATATTATGTGTATAATCGTGAATTAAGTGAAGTGCTCCAAAAATAGAATATAAGTTGGTGATAATAGTAATAGAGTAATTGGTGCATTTTGATCCCATCTATCTTACTTACTGATGACAAAATTTTGACTTTCATCTTTTAATTTTACCGCTTGATTAACAACTTCGGGATCTAAGACTCGTATTTTACTCAAATCATCAATATAAAGACCATACTTTGCTAGCGAATCTGCCATTTTCTCAAACAAACAATGAAATGCTGGTTGCTAGACTTTCCAGTGACACCAACATATCAGAAATGAAAAATCTTATTTTAAAATCAATAATTTTTGACATTGTATTACAATAACAGATATTTCCTTAATTTGATCTAAACTCGTGTTTAAAATTTCTTATTCATAATTTCTTAATAAAGAATAAGAATTTTTATTTCCACTATTTTTAGGTGAGAATTAGAATTGTTAAAGATTTTTTATTTATTTAGTGTTATACAATATTTATAATAATATATTTAGTTTTATATATTGTATATTTAATTTAATTTATTTATTTAAATTTTTGTTTAAATGTTTTAAAGTTTAAATTTCGCGCCAAATTTTTACTATTCACAAAGTTGGTTCATCTGATTTTTCTTAATTGTAGATATAACTTTCGATAAACAGTTATCAATTTTTTTAAAATAAAGAGACAATTTAAAAAAAAAACAAAATCTAAGTTGTCTAATTTTGTTAAAACGCTACTATTACTATTAATGAAAGAAACTATTATTAAAAAGACAAAGTTAAAATTTAATTTTATTGTGTTGGCCCAATTGTTGCACATGCGCAAATTACTTAAAAGAAAAAAAAATGCTAAAACCTAAAAGTCAATATGGTCGTTCATTAGATAAGTCATTTATCGGTAAAAGAGATGTAAAGAAATCCACAAAATATTCTTTCGATTTAAAGTGATAATAGGAAATAATAGTGTAGTATTAAGGGAGATTTAGAAAAAATACATGCCTGACAGTTGACTAGAAGAAAATCGTGAAAAAAAATGTTGCTAACAGAGACGACGTAGATATAGCTCAAAAAAAAAAAAAAATCATAATAAAATTGTGTTCGTTTTTTGAGACCCCCAAAAAAAATTAAGTCACAATAAATTTGTTACATTCATGTGTTAAATGTTGAATTTGACACTTGATAAAAACGATATCTCGTCATCATCACAATCATCATCATTTATTCCCTCATCGTCGACTTTATTTTCTTCGCCCATATCTACGTTTCTCGTTAAAGTCAACATTATGTCAGGAGATCATCAATCTGTCATTAAATATCCATCCGAATATGTCAAACTTAATATTGGCGGATCTTTGCATTACACTACCATTGGCACACTCAGAAAACATGATACAATGTTACGTGCAATGTTCAGTGGTCGAATGGAAGTTTTAACCGATTCAGAAGGTAAATTTTATATTCGGATTTTTCGAATATTAATATTAATAATTACACATTTCATTGATATATTAGCTGTAATATTTAATTTTTATTTCCCTCTTGATATATTTTAATTTCAATAAATTTTTACATTGCTTTTGTTGAAGATATTAATTTTTAATTCGAGCTATCGTTTACAAAAAAAATTTGTTATTTTAGTATTATAGATACAGAATTATTATATTTTTCATGTGTGATTTTTAAAAAAATTTTATTTCTCCCTTTTATACTTTTTGTCGCTTTAAATGATGTAATTTTGTATTTTGTAATAAATGGATATTATTATGTTTATTTAAAGTTAATTAAACGATGAAAATAATTATTTTGTTAATTGTAAATATAATTATAAGCTTTTAAATGTTGTGCCTCACTTTTAAATTTTTTCGACAATAAAATCATAATTTTTCTTATGTAAGACAGTAAACATACAAATTTAACTTGTAAAAAGTCAAAAGTTTATGTTATAATTATTTTAAAACATATTAAATTAATATGCTTTGTGTCTAATAAAAATTATTGTAATTTAAATAACAGAAAATATGTGTGTACAAAATTTGGAAATGAAAGTAATTTTAACAATTGTGAAATTATTTATCGATCGTAATTTTTTAGAAAGCAAATTTTAAGAACATAATATGAAATGCAATTTTTTTTTTATAAAAACATAGAAAAATTTAATTCTAAAAAGAGATAAAATGAGTAAATAAAGAAAAATAAAAGAAACTAAAAAATGTTATGAAATTTAAATTTTAATAGAAAAAAATGTTGTTTTAATTTGAAATTAACTTTAAATTTAAATTAAATAAAAAAAAAATTACAATTTTAAATATATTTCTATAAATTTATTTTTTTAAAACTTTATGTATAAAACTGTGATCCAGAAAAAAAATTCTTTTTTTCTTTTTTCATTAAATAATTATAAGTTTGAAATATATATGTTTATTATTATAAATTTTTATTTATAAAATTATTTATAAAATTAATTAAAGTGTTAATTTAAAAAATTTTAATGTATTTTTTTAAAACAATTTTTGTCAATATTAATAAAGAAATTTTTGTAATTACAGGTTGGATATTAATTGATCGTTGTGGAAAACATTTTGGCACAATTTTAAACTTTCTAAGGGATGGTTCAGTGCCTTTACCAGAAAGTGCAAAGGAAATGGCAGAACTTTTAGCTGAGGCCAAGTATTATTGTATAAGCGAACTGGCGGAATCTTGTGAACAGGCGCTCCAAAAAAAGGAGCGTGAAACAGAGCCAATATGTCGTGTCCCTTTAATAACATCTCAACGGGAGGAACAATTGCTTATTAGTAATACCACAAAACCTGTGGTTAAATTACTTGTAAATAGACACAATAATAAATATTCATATACAAGGTAATTTTTTCAAATTTTAATTATGATCATTAAGAGAAAGAAAAAATATCAAGTTTCTCTTCTAAGAAAAAAAAATAAAATAAAATTTTTTACAGTACATCGGATGATAATTTATTGAAAAATATAGAACTCTTTGACAAGATGAGTCTTCGATTTAGTGGTCGAGTTCTATTCATAAAAGACGTGATTGGTTCAAGTGAAATTTGTTGCTGGACATTTTACGGCCATGGACGTAAAGTTGCTGAAGTTTGTTGCCATTCTATCGTCTATGCGACTGATAAGAAACATACGAAGGTAATTTTTATCAAATAATTAGAAAAAAGAAATGTATTTCTTTATTTTTCATATATATATACAAAATTGAAAATTCTCACAAAAATAAAAAATAACGAATTCTTTTACAAAATTATCTATAATTAGAAAACAAATCAAAATGTGTCTAAACTTCTGAACGTTCAAATGAATAAAATCATTTTTTTTTACGAAACTGAAGTACGCAACGTTTATGATAAATGATTTTTAAAGAAATAATTTTTTAAAATGAAAAATTCTATAATTTTTGGCTTAAAAAATATTTCTTGTAGTTTTCTCAATAAATTATAAAAAAAAATATTTTTTAGGCAAAAAATTATAGAATTTTTCATTTTAAAAAATTATATTCTTTAAAAATCGTTTATCATAAACGTTGCGTACTTCAGCTTCGTTTTTTTTTATATATAGGTGTTTTAAAATTATTATTGCAATGAAAAATAAACAAATACATTAGACATTTTATTAAATTATTCAATTATTTTTTTGATACAAAAACAAATATTTTATAATAAAATTTCAACTTAAGGGGAGGCACCACCTTTATTTCGAACCCTTTAAATTTTTATAATCGCACGATGAAATATTTATTTTATTACATCATTTGGGTTCTAAAAACATTCTAGGTGGTCAAAAAAAAAAAGAAACTATGGAACAAAAAACGCGCTTTTTTCATTAGGTATATTATTATATAATAAATTATATTTCAAATAAAGTCGTTGCAGATTAGTTAAAAAAAAAATTGATTCTTTCAAAAATGATTCTGTATGATATGTAGGGAACGAAATAGAAGGAATTCTGTTGAAATTTTTATTATTTTTCTTAAACTATGAATTTAAAGTGGAGAAGATGCGGAAAAGTGTCACTTTTTTAGCAGTTAGAAAATATTGAAAAATTTTTAAAAGTGTAAAAAGAACTATTAATTTTTGTTTAAAATTAGTTAATTAATTTTTTTGTTTAATGATTAAATTATTATTATTATTATTATTATTATTATTATTATTATTAAATTATTTAATTTCTTTTTATCAAAGTAAAATATAAGCTTGAGCTTTTCAGAAGCTTCATATTTTATAAAAATCTATTAGATGACAATTGTTTCAAAGTTAAAAACAAACTGAAAAAAAAGAATTGTAAAATAAATAACAATAAAAATTTCAACAAAATATTATAGAAATACTCTTTTTAATGTAAAAAATAAAAATATATACAACAATTGTCATTACATAATTTAAAATCACTAAAAATACACAAAAAAAAAGGAATACGGTCTGACAGACCGCTAAAAGCACTAAGCGTGATTTTTTTCCAAATTGCAGTTTAAAGGTTATAAACTTAATTTAAATTAAATAAAAACTCACCAAATATAAAGTATTATTTTTATGAACTTTCAGGATTTTTTAGGACTTTCTTCATTTTTATTTCAAAAGTATAAGAAATATTAAAAAATAAAAAAATTTGTCATTCTCACAACTTTTAAATCACACCAAAATCTACACGTACATAAATATTCGTTTTGATCATTTTTTAAGAAAAAAATTTCTAATTTTAAAAAATTGTTTATTTAAATAAAATTTATTTATTTTTATCTAACAAAATTTTTTTTCTCATTTCACACTATTAGAAATTTTTTTTTAAAAATGATACAATTTTTATTTACTATGACTTATTTTCTGCATATAAATTACAACTTCACCGAAGAGAATTTCCAAAAAATAATGTTTATGTAGAAAATAAGCCATAGTAAACAAAAATTGCATCATTTAAAAAAAAAAAAATTTGTAACAGCGATATGAGAAAAAAAAATGTTTATTACCTAAAAATGTGTGTAAATAAACAATTTTTTTTCATCCTTTCACTTACAAATTAATTTGACTGCTTGTAACAAAAAACAAGAAACAAAAGAGAGAAAAAAAATTGTCAAATCATTTTTAAAAAGGTTTCTATCCACGTATAATACATTGAAAAGTATTTTTCTAAGCATTATTTGGACCGAAAATCTTAAGAAAAAATAATTTCACATTTTTGGTTCTATGGAAAAACAATTTTCGGCACTGAGCGTCGACGCCAACTTCATGGAGGTAAAAAATTTCTAATTCTTAAAAGGGAAATAGAATATTTTACATGAATTCCTGTAATTCCTGTTCCCTAGATATCATACAGAATCATTACCAAAAGAATCAATTGCTTTTTTTTTTTTTTTTTTAAAGAAACTAGGCCGCAACGACTTTATTCGAAATAATAATGGTAAATGGGGACAAAATCGCTATTTTTCACAAATTACGTAAGTTTCTTCCTTTAAAAGGTAATATTTGCGGGTTTATTTTTTTAAAGTTATTTACATTCCCAGGATTAATTTTATGCAGCAGAAAAAAATTTAGATAAGCTTTAAATGCCCCAAAATTTAGAAAATTTCATAAAATTTGGAGTAAATGGGGACAGCATAGTTTCTAAGAAAGTTTTAAGAAAAAAGTTTCCTTAAGTATATTACTGTATTAAGGGATGAAAAAACTTGAAAAAAATTGGTAGTAGATATATAATAGTTGAACCAATTAAAATTTTTTTATTTTTTTTTATTTCAGTATTTTGTCGAGCATTTCAAAGAAAACAGACTTAAAAATCATACCAAATTTTTTTCTTATTCCTTATAACTCCCATAACAGAAATTCACTTGAATTTTTGATTTTTGTTAAATTGGGTAATAATAACAAGCTGTCCCCATTTACCCCAAAAATTTGAAAACTCAGGGTAAATGAGGACAGCTTGTCATTATTAACCAAATTGACAAAAATAAAAAATTCAAGTAAATTTCTGTTATGGGAGTCATAAGGAATAAGAAAAAAATTTCGTATGATTTTTAAGTCTGTTTTCTTTGAAATGCTCGACAAAATACTGAAACAATTTAACTTTGATTTTCAAGTTTTTATGCATTGAACGATAACTTTTTTTTATATCTTGCTGCCAATTGTCAAGATAAAAGCTTGGCAATACTCAAAACCTCTTGTAGGTGATCTGAGATTAAAATATTGACGTTGAACTTCATTTTAAAACTTTAAATTAAGCTCCAAAACCTCTTGTCCCCATTTACTCCAACTGACCCTAATATTATTCTCTAGGTCGAGTTTCCAGAGGCGCGAATATACGAGGAAACATTAAATATTTTGCTCTATGAGCATCGTAATGGACCTGATCAAGAATTAATGCAAGCGACATCGTCGAGGGGAGCAGTGCAAGGTGGTGCACCACCATGTACATCCGATGAAGAAGAAGGCGAACGTACTGGTCTCGCACGACTTCGTTCAAATAAACAAAATACCAACTGACCCATCCGCACATTTCTTCCCCCATCTCAATTAGCAATTCGTACTGGTTGGGGCGTTGTTCGCACATTAAAAACACGTGCCAATCTAAAATAAAAATTCGGCAAATTTTGCCAATTTCTTATTTTCACGCGTGGAAAAAGTAATCTCCACTTTTTTCTCCAAAAAGAAGGGGGGGAAAAAAAAATTATGCGAATAGACTGCAATTTTTCTGATGACAAAAAGAAATTGAAAAAATAATATTTCGCAAGAAAAAAAAAAATTTTTTTAATGGCAAAAAAAAAAAACGAAAAAGGAAAGAGCACCAAAGAAAATAAAATCAGATTTTTTTTTTTTCATTAAATAAAAAAGAGTCAGGATAAATTTCTAGATTTATACACATACAAATACACACACACAAGATTACCAAAGGCGTTGAATGGAAATTGAATTGTGAATTTCGAAAAGAGCTGAACTCGAAAAAGCGTAAGTGTTATTTTTGCATAACAATAGATAGTGAAAATGACTCTTACGGTTTTTAGAGTTGAGCCTTTTTCAAAATTCACGATTCAATTTTTTGAGAGAATATTAATTTTTTTTTTGGGCCGATAATAGAGAATTTGAATTTTTTATTCAGTTTTTTTTCAGTAAGATGAATAGTTCGCGCAAACGAAATACGCGGATTTCATGTGCCAAACATTCATAAATATATTTATATATACACATATATAGAAAAAAAAACCAGTGATACGTCGAAGCCTTATGCCGAAAAATTTCTAGGTCTCTTTGTGTCAATTTTTAATGTGTCATTAGAATTTCATGAGGTCAATGGGTTTCAAATGTGAAGGCACTTTCTTATATTTGGAATTCAGAAAAGAAAAACCGTTTTTCTTCTTGTCCAGAAAATAATTATTTAGTTAGAATAATTTATTATTATTATTATTACTTTCAAGTAATAATTATTTATTATTATTATTATTATTTTGTAGTAATAATTTACTATTACTAATATTTTGAAATAGTAGTTATTTGTTACTATTTTTTATAACAATATTAATTTTTCGCGAAAGAATATTATTCCTCTTAACTTATTTTCTCTAATATTCAATTTATTTAAAACAGAATATTTTCTGTTTTTTTTTTTTTTTTTTTAATTTTTGAACTCTAATTGTATCTCTTATTCTTTCTAATTCGTAAATTGCTATAATTTTCATCGATGGAAAAATTTGAATAAATGAAAAAAAAATTTTATTGTATCGCATGCGATAAAAATTTTTATAATTTAATTTCATGTTTCACTTCTTTTGTAGATTCGAATTTTTTGTACAGCAAAAATTATATATTGTGAAACAAAAAAATTTCATCAAAGAATGATAATTTGAGAAGAAATTATATGTTAATAATTGTTTAAAAATAGTTTCCTAATTTTACAAAAATTAATAATTTTTAAATATAAAAATTATGATATAATAATTAATAAAACTTTTGCAAAAATAAACATTTTTGAATAATATGAAAACAAAAGAAAAATTAATTATTAGTTTTTGCATATTGGAACAATTTTCTTTTTTTAAACTATCGATTTTTTTTCGATTCGATGTTTTAGATAAATTGAAAAATAGAGAGAATAAAATAGAAGGAAATTGTGGGAGAATTTTTTTTTTTTTTTGCAAATGAACGGGAATTTCAAATAAGTTTTCTATATTATAATTATAATTTAATTAACGGCTGTCGACAAGAGGGACCATCATTTATATATTATATATATATCTCAATTATTGCTTTTCGCGAATTTGAGAATATTCTCTATAAAAATTTAAACATTTTTCCGCTTACTAAATGATAATTATTATAATATTATATTATAATATTTATTTACATTTATAAAATATTATAATATTATGATTATTATAATATTTGCAGTAAGCAGAACTGGAAATTGTACAATCTTACGTCCTTGTATGCGTGAAAAATTGTCTCTTGTGTTATTAATTTATTAACTAATTTTTTTTTTCGTTCATATATTTTTTGTATGAAAATGTCTATAGTCGAAGAAAAAAGAAAATGAAATGAAAATTCGTATTAGAGATTGACTGTTAGTCTCTATAGTAAATGTCAAATAACTGAATATCGTTTTAATTTTATTAATTTGTATAATAATTGTATGTGACTGATAGAACAACACGCACACTAAAAAAAAAATGACATCTTAGTGCTCAATGATGAAAAATTAAAATAAAAAAAGATAATAAAGTACATTTTTCATTCTATGTAATTAAATACGTTTTTATTAATTTACTTGGCCTCTTGAAACAAGAAATGTTGTCAATATTAATAATAATAATAATTATTATTATTATTATTATTATTATTATTATTATTGTTATTATTGTCTCAATCCATTATATTTCGACTAAAATTCATTGCCGACTGATTTTAAAAAATTATATAATACTATGCAGAAATGATTTTGAAGGTACTAAGATCACAAAATATAAAATAAAAAGAATTTTATTGAAAAATTTAATTATCGTTTTTTTTTTTTAAAGAAAGTTATTAAGGTTTAAAAATCGCGAAAATCGTCAAAGTGTTAATTTTATTTTTCAAATCGTCAAAATTAGTTAAATTTAAAAATCTTATTTTATTTATTATTTCATAACTTTAAATGCTTCTATCAATTTATACTAATAATAAATTTAGTCAATGTTAATAAATTTTAATAATTTTTTTTTACACTTTTGTAATAAATTGTTTGTATTTTTTTTTTTAAATACTTTAGTCAAAACATTATGGATTGACCCTATTATTATTATTATTATTATTATTATTTAATTTATTAGTAAATTTATTTAATAGTAAATAAAAAAAAATTGCAAAATTTCTTTAAAACATAAATTAAGAACATGGTGACACTTACAGGGTTTTGTGAAAGAAAAAAAAAATCACACAATTATATATCCTTCATTGATCATAACGAAGTAAATATTTTAAAAAATTACAAATAGAAACATGTAAAAAAAACTGTTATTAAAATAAAAGTGTCTAATAATTACACATTCTATGTAAGGAATTTACATACAATATAATATATATATATATATATATATATATATATATAGCTATTATTTAAATAAACAATGTAGTTTTTAAATTATAAATTTATTACATAGAAAGAATAATTAATATTTTGTTATAAAGAGAATAACAAAATGTTTTAAAAAATTTTCAGCAAAAAATCGACATTTTTTTCGATTTAAAATGTAGAAAAATAAAAAGAAGAAAATAGGCTTTTTATTGTTTTTAACATACGTATAATTGCAATTTGTAATTATTTATATTCTCTCTTTGCTGTTAATGCGAGTGTTAATGAGATGAAAAATCAGTATTTAACAGATATTTTCATTGAAAAAGTTCGTATTATCTGAAGAGTCATTTTTAATATTAATGTTTATATAATAATATGTAGAATGAAGGTAAAACACCAAACAAAGTTTAAAATTCATTATATTTACATAGAGTTTAAATTTAAACGAATAGAATTTTTGCAGTCAAATCGTAATTAAGGGCGTTATTGATCGTTAAAAAGAAATTATTATTTTTTTTTTAAATAATTGTTAAGAAAATTATTAATTTATTAATAAATTAGATTTTTCGTTCATGTCATTAATGAAAAATCTAATCCACTCGTACAAAAAAAAACTATAATTAAAATTATTATTTAATTAAACATTTTTTTACTCGTATCAATGAATTATTTCTCATCAATATTTCATTCACATGAATATTCCTTAAATCTCATTTGACATAAATCAAATTTCATATAAATATCATTAGACATTTCAATGTCATTAAAAATTGCATTATCTATCCTCGTCTTACACACAGAAGCTTATGTGTGAGACAAGGACAGACAATGCAATTTTTAATGACAAATATGAGATTTGGGGAATATATTCATGCGAGTCATTTTATTTGAATTTTGTAAATTAAAAATATTGAATATTAATAAAAATGATTGAATAATTAATTAAATTAAGAGTTTCAAAAAAATATTATTTAATTTTTTATAGCTCTAAAATGAAAAAATACAAAATAGTGACTTACAGTCCTCAACTAGTGAGATACGTTAAAAAAAAGTTATTTACGCATGCCCTTAAATTATTCAAGACAATTATACAATTTTTTAAAAAAGTAGATGTTAAAAAAAACGCATATATGTATGTGCCAAAAGTTTACATTTTATGAAGTTGATATGTATAAATTGTATGTATAAATGTAAAAATTGCATTAAATGAAATGACTAATCGAACATATATATGGGAGAAATTTTATGCGAAGTGATTTAACGGTCTGAATACTTATAGTAAAATACACGGGATGATAATCAAATAAGCGTAATATTACAGTAATATTGCCGTAATATTACGCAATTATATCAGTAATATATTACCATGAGGCGGACATTTTAATATGACTGTTAAGGCGCTTGTATACCTCACCCATCCCGAGTATACTTGCGTCATTGGAGTAAAAGAGACGGAAATATCTTTTTGTCTCTTTTACTCCAATGGTACACGACAGAAGTATACTCGGGATCGGTGAGGTATACAAGCGCCTTTAATATTACGTATACTACTTGGGGTAATATCTTGGACCAGGATTATTTCACATAAAAATCTTCCGTATAAAATTGCATTATCAGTCGTTGCATTTATTTATTATAATTATATATATATATATATATATATTCTAAATTTTATGTAGTAATATTTTCTCATCGTATGAACGTATTTTCATTGAAGAAAATAGAAAATGTGTGTGTGAATTTTTACACACTTTCTCAATAATGTACAATATATTATATATAATAAAAGCCGTTTGTAAATTACAATTATATCTATGAAGTAAATAAATATATTTACTTTCTCCGATAACTACTTGTATTTCTCTTTATTAATTTTTATTTAAATTTTTAAACTACAGACTATAATGTAGTGATGTCTAAAATTAAGGCCAGGTGCAACTCGTCAAATGTAAACAAACACAACCATTTGAGTATTGGGATCAGAAATCACGCGAAACTGACCCACCCTTGAGCCTTCTTGTGACAACTATCTTGGTTTTTTATCTCTTTCTTTTGTATATGTTAGAGAAACACGGAATGCGAAAACATAGCCACCACAACAAGGCTCTCACCAGATGGCGTATCGCAGTATTTCAGATCCCAATTTCTAAAAGCGCTTGTATACCTCACCGATCCGGAGTATACTTGCGTCGTGTACCATTGGAGTAAAAGATATGGAAATATCTTTTGTCTCTTTTACCCCAATGGTACACGACAGAAGTATACTCGGAATCGGTGAGGTATACAAGCGCCTTAAAGCACAGGCGAAGTAGACCTGAATGGGAGAAATAGTGTGGGAAGGGGTAAAAGACCTAGTCTCTGTCCTCTGGTGGGGGTATAATTTCAGAATTTTACCCTTTCCAAGATGTGACCATCCAATCGCTCAACTCTTTCTCCCATCTAGGTTCATAACGTCCGTGCTTCAGATATACTCAAATGGTTTGTTTTCGTAACCTTGAGAAAATTGTTGTTTCAATGTAATTTTCATTTTATTGTAATTATATTAATATTATTCATATTATTAGTCAAATAAGGTGTCAGGCTGTAGTTTTATATATGAATTTTCCATTTTCACATAGAGAAAGAACAATTTTTATTTTCTATTTAAAAAAAGGCTGTCGCAAATTTGTCAATAATTACGTACATTTTCATGTTTGTTTACATTTGACGAGTTGTACCTGACCTTAAGGGAAGGATGTCATTGTCCCCACTCGCCATTTGACATAAATTCTTATCAACTACCGCACCCTGCTCTAGTGAAAATTTAGTGACTTTATAGTAACTTTCAGTTTTTACTAAAATTTTCACTAGAGCAGGGTGTGGCAGTTGTCCTTATCTAATACCTGCGTTTTCATGGCAACATGTGCGTCAGACAATAAGGTCAGAAATGTGTAGGCATATTTTCTAGAGTATATTTATAGAAAGTTATTAATTAAAAGTAGGTCTAGTAAGGCAGCAACATCTATTGGGATCAGAAATCACGCGAAACTGACCCACCCCGAAGTCTTCTTGTGACAACCACCTTGGTTTTTTATAGGCCTAAGCAGGAGCATGAAAGTTCTACCTTTAAACGCATGGGACATCAGCATACTACGATTGCAAAAAGTTATGCTTTTTCGGTATAGTTTTAAGGCCTGAGAAGAATAGAAACGTAACCGGAATCGTAATCGCAAACGCAATCGGAAGAATGAGTTAGAAAAGGATAGATAGATTTTTTGTCCTTTTCCAACTTATTCTTCCGGTTGCGTTTACGAATTTTACGATTACCATTCCGGTTACGTTTCTATTCTGCTCAGGTCTTTATGCAACTGTAGTATAATGGAGCGGTCACAATTCGGCTGTAGGAGCAGTTGCCCATGGCAACCGTGTAAGAGTAAGAGAGATAGAAGATTTTCCATCTCTCTTACTCTTACACGGTTGCCATTGGCAACTGCTCCTGCAGGCGAGGTGTGACCGCTCCATAAGGCCACGCCTCTTATGCAGGAACGTCCATACAAAATTAACATAGATGGCTCCCATACTACAAACGCTTGATTTTTCTCTCCGTGCAATATCCAAACTAAAATTTCGGAAAATTTTTTACGACAGTATTTACTTGAAAACAAGACAATAAAATGCTTTTTCCTTTAGGATAATTGATTATTGTGAAGAAATACACCAGCTAAAACTTTTTTTGAATTAAAATAATGAAAAAAAAATTAACGACGATAAATTAAATATGAGTATATTTTTTTACGAAAAATTTTAAGAAATTTTCTCGGAAATAACAAACAATAATGCAATTTTCATTTGGAGAATTAATAAACACAAATATTTCAAACAGTTAAAAACAAATAAATAAGTAACTTATATTTCTGTGTCAATATATCATAAATACAGAATTTCAAGAAGACTGTATATTTACATAATTATATATTATGATTGTAAATGGACGGATTATTTCAGTGTATACATATATACTGAAAATATAAATCTATATATAAACTCAGTATTAATTATTATTGTGCTCACTCAATAGATTGTTGTCATTTTAAATAGTGAATAGTTTTTTTTTCAAAATTAACTCCCTTAAAAATTAATTTTGATATTCATCGATGGAAGGCTACCTCTTATTGATATAAATATCTCTTATTTGATCAGTTAGCCATTCTATCGCTGGTTGTAATCCTTCTCCAGTAACTGCATTTGTAGCTCTTATGTGCCATGGTTTATTGTGAATTTTTTCTAAACCAAGTCCAGAAACAAGTTTTACTGTTGTAAGAGAATCTGGTAAATCCATTTTATTGGCTAAAAAGAGTATTGGGATTTTTCGACCTAGAATGTGATTTTAAATACAAAATTTATAATTTGCATAACCCAATTCATTATTTTTATAATTTCACCCTAAAGGTGCTTTTATACCTCTAGTATTTTGGTCAAGCAATCGACTGCATTGAATTTTCATGATGAATCACTGAATTTGATTGGTTCTAACAATATTCATTTTCACGGTGGAAATGGAATATTTGTTAGAGCCAATCAAATTCAGTGATACAACCGTGAAAATTCAATCTAGCCGATTGCTTGACCAAAATACTGGAGGTATAAAAGCACCTTAAAATATGGGAAGCTTGCCATTGTCCCCAGTCGACATTTCTCATAATTCTCGTCAACTACCGCACTCTGCTTTACTGAAAATTTAGTGACTTTTTAAATAAAATTAAATTTTACTAGAGCAGGGTGCGGTAGTTGACCGATAATTATGAAAAATGACGAATAGGAACTTTGGCCAGTGTGGACATTGGCATCTTTCCCATACGCCGCAAACTAATAAAATTATTATAGAAGTGTCACGACTTTACAACATACTGTCAAATTGGAAGGACAATATATATGGGTTGGTTTCCATTGTCCCCACTCGCCATTTGTCATAATTCGCGTCAACTATCGCACCCTGCTTTAGTAAAAATTTATGGAGCATTTACACCTTTGATAAAAAATTTTCTTCACTTTGCATTTTCCGAAATACACTTACCTGATTGGTTGTCCATAATGAATCAGATTCTGGACTCCATTAGTAACTTTTAATTTTAACAGTAAAGTTACTAAATTTTTACTAGAGCAAGGTGCGGTAGTTGACGAGAATTATGACAAATGGCGAGTGGGGACAATGGAAACCCTACCATATGTAGTTGATGGAGCATTTACACCTTTGGTAAAAAAAATTTTTATTTTGCATTTTCCGAAATACACAAATCTGATTGGTTGTCCCTTATCAATCAGATTGTGAACAACCAATCAGGTTTGTGTATTTCGGAAAATGCAAAATAAAAAATTTTTTTACCAAAGGTGTAAATGCTCTATTAGTGTACAATATAACATATGTAAAACATAAGGCCAACGTACAATGGCTTCGCGAAAGTCGTTCACGAACGAGATGCATGCGATAAAGAAGAACACGAGTTCATCTCTGTCCTTTCCTAACGCATGCTTCACGTTCCCGAACTCGTTTTGTGAAGCAAATCTACTTAGGCATATAATTGTAAAATATTTATAAATAATTATTAAATATAAGGTTTACCTTCAACGTCTGGATGCTGAAGCAACATATCCAATTCTTCTTTTACGACTACCAACCTTAATTTATCAGTGCTATCTATTAAAAATATTATTCCATGACAATCTTTATAATAGTGTTCCCACAGAGATCTATACCGATCATGACCAGACATATCGAATGCCGTAAAACTAACATTTTTAACTGAAACAAAAAAATTATTATTCCCTTTTTAAAGGAATAGTTTTCAACAAAAATAACGTACAAAAGCATTTTGAAATAATGGTTTTACAATGCAAAATCGTATATATTAATGGAGCATATAAGATCTGAGCAGAATAGAAACGTAACCGTAATCGCAATCGCTATCGTAAACGGAAGAATGAGTTAGAGAAGGATAGTCATATATTGTTCCTCTCTTACTAATTCTTCCGTTTGCAATTACGATTCCGGTTACGTTTCTATTGTGTTTAGGCCTTTACAACTTCGGCAAAAAATTTTCTTCACTTTGCATTTTACGAAATCCCCTTACCTGATTAGTTGTCCAGAATCTGATTCATTGTGGACAACCAATCAGGTAAGTGTATTTCGAAAAAATGAAATGCGAAGAAAATTTTTTGCCGAAGGTGTAAATGCTCCATAAGAAGCAGAGATGGGTACGTAGAAAACCTCGAGTATAATACAATGAATTTTACTTGTAATATTGGGATCTGAAATACTGCGATACGCCATCTGGTGAGAGCCTTGTTGTGGTGGACATGTTTTCATTCCGTGTTTCTCTAACATATACAAAAGAAAGAGATAAAAAACAAAGATGGTTGTCACAAGAAGGCTCAGGGGTGGGTCAGTTTCGCGTGATTTCTGATCCCAATACACGTATTATACATGAGTTTTCTACATGTGTATTATACATAAGGCTAATTTTGAGAAACATAACCCTAAATCTGCTTGATTCGAATTTCCAATTTTCAAAAGTTTTGATATTGGCAAAAATTAATTATCAATGATTTGATAAAATTTAAATTATATTAGTATTTCTCTTCTAAATTGAGAACGAAAACACACTTAATATGTTAAAATTTTTTTACAAAATTATTGCAAATAAGATAATATTATTTAACTCAACTGAAAGTTTTCAATTGACCAATATTTGAAAATTTTATTTATTAATTAATACTTATTTACCAACAATAAACCAGAAAGTAAATAACAAAATGAGGTTATGTTGCCATTGATGCGGCTACAATGTCGAAAACCTGATTTTCTACAGTATTATACGTATAACACGTCATTTATGTATTATACGTAGAAAACCTCTAGAAAAGCACTTTTACCCATCTCTGATTAGGCTCTGTCACTTGTGACGTAAGAGTCGATTCTAGGTGTGACGTCAGATGGCTGGAGGGAAAACAAACAGACGACACAATGTTATTCTTATAGGGAAGAAAATTTGTTTCTACTTTCATCAATTTTACTCATATTTTAAATGTGGAAAATGCTTGTTGACATATAATAACATTAAAATGTGTGGTGATAATTAATTTTGTTATATATTCAATTCAAATGCATTGATAGCTTCTCTGAATTCGTGATAAAATATAAATTTTGAGGTTAGATAAGCTTGTTTACTAACTTGAAATGTTGTTAAAATGTAAAATAGAATTAGTAAACAAACACCCCTAACCTCAAAATTTATATTTAATCACGAATTCAGAAAATCTATTAATGGAATTGAATCAAATATATAACAAAATTAATTTATCAACACACATTTTAATTTTATTATATGTCAACAACCGTTTTCCATGTTTAAAATATGAGTAAAATTTATATGAAAGTGGAAACAAATTTTTTTACCCATAAGAATAACATTGTGTCGTCTGTTTGTTGTCCCTCCAGGCCTCTGACGTCATATCTTGAACTCGAAATATCTCGATGAACTGACACAGCCTAATGGAGCATTTACACCTTCGGCAAAAAATTTTCTTCACTTTGAAATTTCCGAAATACACTTACCTGATTGGTTGTCCACAATGAATCAGATTCTGGACAACCAATCAGGTAAGTGTATTTCGGAAAATGCAAAGTGAAGAAAATTTTTTGCCGAAGGTGTAAATAATGCTCCATGATAAGAAGGCAACGCGAGACAGACGCGAAACTTCACAACCCTGCGGAAGAATGAACGCAGCTTTAATATCCGTTAAGTGTAACGTAACAACGTAACTTTTAATCACTGAAATTTACATGCAACTACACAACCCTGTCAATACAATGCGTTTAATGAGAATCACTGCACAACACAACGGTTGTTTGTTGTTTGTATTTATAGTTCAAATAATTGAATTCAAATGTAAAAAACATTAATTAATTAAAATGCACATAAACGATCTTGATTAACAAGTGAAATTGTGAAATTTCTATATTCTACTATGTGATTTTATTGCTGTAGTTTTTTTTTTAGAGAAAAGCAGTGAAAAATGAATCGTACCGGTAAGTCAATACCTAACCCAACTTTTAAAAATAAATATATAATAAATTGTTTATCAGTAATGTGTAAATTAAAAATTATTAATTTTGAATTAATTTTCAATTTTACCAGCGACTCTGGAGGCAAAAAAAGCACGCTTGAAAAATGAAATAAAACTCTTAGAACAACTTAAAAATGATACAAATAATCGTTTAGAAAATGTTGCTGAAATCAATGAAAATGACATAAACAATTATTCATTTATCACCAGTAATTCAGAAGATGAAACATCAAATTCAATTTTAAAAATAAAAAATGAATTACTAATATTAGTTGGATTACGTTGCATAAAAAGTGTCAAGGATGAATGTGTTTTTGAATTTCCAGCAAAGGATGAAAACAATAAACAAATTAAATATTTTGTTCAACTTTTAAAAGCTAATAGTGGTTTAAGTTTAGGTAAATGGAATTTTCCAATGTTTATCGATGTCAATGATATTTGGAAGGAAATGCCCGTAATTGATATCGATACTTTTTGTGAATTCATTAAAAAATGTAAACACTGCATTCATTGTTATCAGAATAGAATGAATCAATTTATAAACTTTCAGGTAATTTATTAAATTTATTATTATTATTTTATTTAATTTAATGCTGTTGATAATTATTAAAAATCATTTTTATAAAATAATATAATTAATAAATTATATAATTTTAATCGATAAAAATTATATTATTTTTAGAATTCTCTAAAGCAATATGCAAATTGCACTATCGATAGAGATCAAACTTATAGACATATAATAATTGAATTATTACAAGTTTATAATGTAAAAATGGATAATTATATAAACGTTACTGTTTATTTGCAATATAATTTTGAGGAAATTAGACCTTTTAATATTAAAGTGGAATCACAATACGATGGACTGCTTCCACAAGAAACAGAAAAAGATATAAAGCCATTTTTCAAACCTTTTAAACAATTTGATTTGACTGATGCATTAGAAACTGTTGAATATAAAGAGAATCTCTTATTTTCTTGGCAAAGATTAACAAGAGACACTACATTGATAGACAACATGGTAAGAATTAATAATTAAACAAAACTTACAAAAAATTTCGATTACATTGAATATTGAGAATAATTTTTATTATTTTTCAGGATTTGGACGATATTATACCGAAACGTAAACGTTATTCGGATGTAAGTAATTTGAATTTATTGAGAGTATTCAACGAAGCTGAAGTACGCAACGTTTATGATAAATTATTTTTAAAGAAATAATTTTTTTAAAATGAAAAATTCTACAATTTTATGCCTAAAAAATATTTCTTTATAATTTGTTGATTAATGAAAACTACAAGAAATATTTTTTAGGCAAAAAATTGTAGAATTTTTCATTTTAAAAAATTATTTCTTTAAAAATCGTTTATCATAAACCTTCACCTTCTTAGTATTCAACTATTATAAGAAATGAAAAATCAATAAATTGTTTGTAATTTTTATTTGAAATTATGAGGTGTTGGAATAATTTATAAACTCGCAATTTATTTATTGAAATTTTTGCAGTTTAACAATTTTTTCCCTTTCACCTCTAAATTTTTTCAATTTTTCCAATTCGACATTTTGTAAATTATTCTTTTTCATTTTAGAAATATCGTATCAACAAAACAAAAAAACGTTCCTTAAATTCAGTTTCAAAAAGTGCTACCAAGTCTAAAGGAAATGAAGTTGATATTGCCAAGTATTTTACGAGAACTGAATCCTCAGCTGCAACTAAACAAAAAGTAATTAATTTTACTATTTTATTTATTACCTTTTTATTATTTATTTAATAAAATTTATTCTTTATTGATATGACTTTTTTTTCACCAATAAATTAATAATACAAAAAAAATTGTCATTTAGGATCTAGAGAATTCAACAGACGAACAAACGGAACAAGATAATTCAACGAGAAATTCAAGTCCTTTAAAGAAAAAGACAAAGAAATTAAAGCGTTTAAAGTCAAATAAAAATATCAATCTTAAAAATACAAAAATAATGCTTAAGAAAGATGATTCAAAAAATACTGTATCAACAAAAAATTACGATAACAAAATAATTCCCGAAGAGAAAAGAATTTTACGACCATCGTCAATTTCACCGACAAAAAATATGAGTCCAAAGAAAATTTCACCACAAAAAAATGGCATATTCTCAAAATCATCAACAATAAATTCATCGATAATTAATGCGAGTTCAAAGAAAAATTCATCCAAAAAATTAGGACGACCTTTAAAAAAATCATTAAAAACAACAATAAATTCACCGAAAAAAATTACGAGTGCAATGAAAAATTTGTCCAAAAAAGTAGGAAGACCTTTAAAGAATCCATTAAAGACAACAGAAAATTCACCGAAAAAGAATATGAGTCCAATAAAAATATCGCCGAAAAAAGTAGGAAGACCTTTAAAGAACCCATTAGAAACAACGACAAATTCACCGGAAAAGAAGGCGAGTCCAATAAAATTATCGCCGAAAAAAGTAGGAAGACCTTTAAAGAACCCATTAGAAACAACGACAAATTCACCGGAAAAGAAGACGAGTCCAATAAAATTAACGCCGAAAAAAGTTGGAAGACCTTTAAAGAACCCATTAGAAACAACGACAAATTCACCGGAAAAGAAGACGAGTCCAACAAAATTAACGCCGAAAAAAGTAGGAAGACCTTTAAAGAACTCATTAAAAACGACAAATTCACCGACAAAGAATACAAGTCCAATGAAAATATCACCGAAAAAAGTAAAAAGTCCTTTAAAGAAACCATTAAAAACAACGAAAAATTCACCGAAAAAAAATACGAGTCCAATGAAAATATCACCGAAAAAATTAGAAAGCCCTTTAAGGAAACCATTAAAAACAACAACAAATTCACCGAAAAAAAATACAAGTCCAATTGAAATATCACCGAAAAAAGTAGGACGACCTTCAAAAAAAACATTGCCATCTGATGAAATAATTAAATTGAAAAAATTAGAAAATCTCAAGAAATTAGTTTCATCAAAAACAAAAGTATCACCCACAATTTCTAATGTTAAATTTAAACAAACAAATTTACAAATTCCAAAATTTGATAAAAATATTTCACCAACAAAAATGTTAACAATCAATTTAAATACTAGTGATAAAGTTTTAAGATCAAAATTCATTACAAGTACACCGCATCCTGAGAAAAATATTAAACGTTTAAAACAATCTTTGATTGACATGAATCTTAGTGAAATTAAAGATACAAAACAGAGACGCGTTGCAAAAAGTCCTACAAAACAAACTATCAACAAGAATTCAAATGAAAAAAAAGATAAGTAAATAATAATACAAATATTATTTTAAATACAAACGTAAAATAATAAACTTTTGCTTTATATATTAATATTTCAAAAAAGTTTTTTTTTAACTCATTGAGAAAAAAGTTTTGTTTACTGTTCATTTTTTTCTATTATTTATGCATTGACGAATAAAATTATTTTCTAAAAAAATAAATTATAATAAAATTAAATGAATAAGTGATTTACGAAACAAATTTTTTGTTGTAAATTAGCATATTTTTATTTATTATTAATATTATTATTATTATATACTTTATTAAATAAATAATTATTTTTAATTTAATTTTTTTTCTCGACAATTGTATACTCAGGAATGTGTAAGTAAAAAAAATAAAAAATGTTGATTTTTTTTTTTTTTTGTTAACATGCATAACTTTTATGATTTCTAAAACTGAATAGTTGACAATTTTTCTTTATTTAAGACTGCTTAGAAAATAATCAAATACTTATAAAGTGGATTTTAATTTTTCATTGTAAAAATTAAATATTTTATATTCTTTAAAAAAAAGTCAATTCAAAAATTAAATTATTGGATTGATTTAATACTCTAGTAAATTGTACTTCAGCATCGTTTATGTTTAACGTTTAATAGGCCTCGGATTTTACGACTTTTTCGACTTTTTTGCAAAAATACAACTTTTTTCTAATTATTTTAATAAAATGCGACTTTTTCGACTTTTTTATCTTTTTTAAAAAAAATTTTAAACAAAATACGTATTTTTTAGTATACAATGCAGATCTTCTTCAGATCTTCTTTATTTCAATTATTTAACAAATTTTTAACTAAAATTCTTCACTAAATTAATTATTTTTAATAATTTTAATGAAATTCTTCTGAAATTCAATTATCTTAAATTATTTTTTAATTAAAATTTTTATAAAATTTAATAATTGTTTATAATTTAAAAAAAAATTAGCAAATAAAATTACAAAAAATTTTGAATTCAAAATCACTTGTAATTTAATTATTTGCAAAAATTTCAATTATTTTTAATGATTTTTCTAATATTCTTCGAAAATTCAATTATCTAAAATCATTTTTCAATTAAATTTTGGAATTCAATTTTTTATGTGACTTCTAATAAATTCTTTATCAACTGAAATCATGAAAAATTTGTCTTATTATAATTATTGTTCTGAAATTTAACAAAATCTTTTGAAATTCAATTATTTTTAAAAAATTTTCAATTTAAAAGCTTCTAAAATTTTCCATCTAAAACTTTTTGAAATTTAATAATTTCAATTATAACTCTCCTGAAATTCAATAATTTTTAATAATATTCTTCGAAAATTCAACTATCTGAAACCATTTTTCACTTAAAAAGTTTTCAAATTATTGTATTTTTGTCTGCAATTTCTAATAAATTTTTTAACAACAGAAATCATCAAAAAATTTTAATTAAAAATCACTTGAAGTTCAATTAATTTCAAAAATCTAAATAATAAATCTTTGAAAATTCAATTACTTTTAAAAAATTTTATCTAAAATTATTTGTTAAATTATTTTTAGTTCTGTAAAATTTAATTATTGACTGAAAATTAACAAAATCTTTTGAAATTCAATTATTTTCTAAAAATTTCAACTTTAACTCTACCAAAATTATTATAAAAAAAAATTTTTATTTAAAAATTTGTAAAACTTGATTAAGTATTGCATGAAATTTTTTTGATCATCAAAATTAAAAACTATGAGAAAATTTCTAATTCAAATAAATTGCTTAAATTAAACTTAAAAAAATTATAAAAATGAAACTTTAAGATTTTTTTTAGAAATTTGTTCTACTTAAGGCCATCCGGGAAAAATCCCTAACCTAAAAGTGTTTTCCCGCGCGAGATATTACTCGTAAATAACTTGAAATATCTTGTTCGGATTTGTCGGATTAATTAGATGAGGGCGAGCTGATTAAGAATCATCTCCATTTTTACAAGTAATTTTATAAAAAAGTATTGAAAATCGTGATTATAAAAGTTTGATTTTTGATAAAAGTGGGGACAGTAGGGGAGGCGAGCACACAGACATTGAATCTATGTGTCAGTGGCCCAGAAGGTGGCGCCAATTCTAGCTAGTGGCCGCTGCTGAACTAACTTACCCCAAATTACTCCACTTTAAATCTTTAATAAAATTATTTCCTCAAAATATTATTGCAAAAATGGAGAAGAGCCCCACTCAGTGACCCTTCCTCTATTATTCCTCCAAATGCCAACTAGAAATACTTTATCCTTTAAAGATGAGAAGTAATTTACGAAACCCCTTTTTGCCAATGTTTAAACATTTTTTTCAATAATTATTTATCAAGATTATGCAAAATTCCGAGAAGAGCCCCTGGCAGGGTACCTTCCTCTATTATTTCCAAAAAATTACAACCTAAAATATTCTATTTTTTTCAAATGAGAAGAAATCTACAAAACCATTATTTTCTCCCGGATGGCCTTAAATAAAATTTTGAAAATTTGTCTTACAATTTGTTCGATTCTGAAATATTCGAAATAAATTTTCTTGATAATATTTTTATAGAATTATTCTCATTACAGAATTAATAAAATGAACTTAATATCTAATAACATTAGTAATTTAAAGTAAAATATTTATTAACCAATTAAAGTTAAAATAAAAAAAAATCGACTTTTTTTGAAACATAAATTGACTAAAACGACTTTTTTTGTGCCTTAAAGTCGATCCGAGGCCTGCCGTTTGAAAATCAATTTTTATTTAACAGTAACAATTATAAAATTGTTTAACTAAAAAAATATTTGTTTTATATAATTTTTGTTGATTAATAAAAACTACGTAGAAATAATTTCTAAGCAAAAAAATATAAACTTTTTCATTCTAAAAAATTATTTCTTTAAAAATTGTTTATCATAAACGTTGCGTACTTCAGCTTTGTAGTAATAAATTCAGAAAATATTAATAAAAATTTTATAACTATGAAAAAACTTAATGAATCCCTAAAATATTAATTAAATTTTATAACTATGAAAAAACTTAATGTATTTTAAATTGTAAATGAAGGATTTTTCATGTACTTTTCAATGCCAAAAAAAGTTTTTACAAATAAAAATTAGTTATTAAGTTGTTTTTTTCAAAATTAACGCTCATCTTTCATTTTTAACATTTGGGAAAAATTTCAGCTTTCATATGAAAATGACAAAAAAAAAAATTTAAAGGAGACCAATAAGGTTAAAAATGAAAAATAAGGATTAATTTCAAAAAAAATTTATTTATTTCACAAAAAAAATTACATTTTATTAATATTATAATAAAAAATAAAATACGAAATTTTCTATAATAATTTGAATTTTAATTGATGATTTTAAATAATTTAATTAATTTATGAAAAAATCAATAATATTTTTCCTAATTTTATCCTTCAATTTTTAATATTACAAAAAAGTATCATTTTTATGTCTAGATGAAAATTGAATAGTATTAAATCCATCAATTAAAATAGAAATGTTAAAATAAAAAAGAATGTATATACAATGTAACATATAAAATAATTGCAAATTAAATATTAAAAATACGAATGCAGGTGCAATAAAAATTGTGAATCTCAATGCGGGTTTTGCAATGATATAAATATAAAAAATAAAAAGCTATATTATATAGCCACGCAAAACAACAAACAAACATCGTTGATGATTTTCATCATTTTTATAGTTGAAAAAAAAAAACTTACATGCGAATTTTTCGACATTAAACCCGACAGTGGGTACTATGTCTATGCAACGGTCTTCCTCGCGTTTGAAATGATTTATGACCGTTGACTTACCACTGTTATTTAGTCCAACAACCAAAACGTTTACTTCTTTTCTTCTCAGTCCTAAAAGATTGGCTAGACGATCAAATAAACCCATTTTTAAGCCTTTCTGATTAACTCTACTACTGTTCGTTATTTCGTTCTAAAAAGTCAATAATCACATCTTTGTTGTGGGGTTAATTCACTGCATTGTGGAGGTGGGAAATGGAAATCCCACCCTCTCTTATTCATATAAGTATACATATATATATATATTTATCCTTGAAAATTGTAAGCAAATTTTTGAAATTTTGTCAAATTTCTTTCGGCTTTTAATTTTCAAGAATAATACATATGTTCTGCTACATTTGAATTTTGTTTTTTGAAATTGCAAAAAAAAATTACTTCCTCCTCCATATAATAAAGTTTCAATCACAACCCAATGGTATGCACAAATAAAAATATACTTTTATTTATCTCTCTTACTCTTATTTGTTACCATAGCAACATGTAAACAACACTGCTTGAATGCAAACGTGTGATTGTTTCCTAAGGGCGCACTCACACCTTTTGGCTGCCTGCCTGCCTGCAGGAGTTGTCATGGCAACGTGTAGGAGTAACAAAGAGAGAAAATTCAAATTTGAATTTACTATCTCTGTTACTCCTTCACGTTGCCATGACAACTCCTGCAGGCAGGCAGGCAGCCAAAAGGTGTGAGTGCGCCCTAATTGTACACATTTGGCGCGAATTTTAAACCAACATACAAAAAAAAAAATCATTATTAGTAAATTGTCTAAATTTTGACAAAATTAAGTAAATTTAAAATCTTCTAGTTAAACTCTATTACTTATTTTTTAAATTAAATAGATTAAATAAAGAATTTTTATTGTCTTATTTTATATTATTATTGCTTATGTTTTAACCTCACTTTTATCATTTTCATCCCTCTAGTCATTTTTTGAAGAATTCCTCAAAGGAATGTAATGATTTTTATTTTTGAATTTCTTAATTTAAAAAGTGCAATTATTAATTAATTTAAAATAATTTTTATGATACTCTACACGTAAAAAGAGTGTCAATCATATTTCAATAAAATGCAATAAATGATACATAATTATATGTTCACGTGTTTTTGCTTTTATCGTCGCGCGCATCTATATAGCAGGCAAAATGTGATTACAGATAAAAAAAAAAAACTCTGAAGCGACTCTAGACTTCCCGTAGATTATAAAATTTTTACTTCAGTTCAATTTTGACCGAGAAGAAGGAGAAATCGACTGAAAGAAATAATTTCTTAACAAGAATAATGCCTAACATTATTAATGACATAAAATTAGATTTTAAGGACGTTTTACTTCGTCCTAAAAGAAGTACATTAAAAAGCAGATCAGATGTGAGTAATTATATTTTTTTCTTGATTTAATAAATAAATAATTTAATTTTAATATATTTATTACAAAATCATTTTCTGTGTAAATATTTGTGACTCTCTTTCATTGTAAATCATTTGAATTTTTTTTTTCTTAATTGATAAAAGAATATTGACTTGACACGATTATATATATCTGAAATTTATGTTATTTTTATAATAAATATATTTTTTTTAAATATATATATACATATATTCCACAAAATTACACACATTCTTAATTTACCTTATTTCTGTTATTTCAAAATAATAACATAGAATCTATGTATTTTCGTTTGTTTTCTAAAAATATAAATTATATTTTTGAAGAAAATATGAGCTGAGATTTTGAAATTCTTTTTTTTTTCTTTGAAATTTTAGTTATAATTTTTATATATTTTAAATGATTAAAATAAAAAATTTGTTAAAAATTTTAAAATTTATTTACTGAAAATGAAAATTATTTTATTTTTATGAAAAATTATTTATTTTCGTATAAGGGAAATTTTTTGTTATTTTTATTAAATTTTGAATAAAATTATTTCTTATAAACATTTAATAATTTATTAAATAAATAATATTTATTGTACATATAATCAGGAAGTATATTGTGTTAAATTTTACGTGCACTTGACTTTTATTTAGTGCTCTGATCTAAAAATATCCTTTTAGCTATTTCACTTTCAAGGTTTGAATTTTGTGTGATCGATAAGATATAAAAATCTGACAGGAAACACTTTTCACTTTCGATTATTATTATTATTATTATTATTATTATTAAAGAAAGCAATATGAAATAAATTTACGATATTATAAAATTTCTTTATGAAATTATCTTCATTTTATAATTTTATATTTGTTAGATAAAATTTTGATTGTATCTTATGAAATGATAAAAAAAAAATTTTTTTTTTTGTTAATGGAAAATTTAAAAAGATAAATTTTAGTTTTATTTTACATTTAGAAAAATGTTGAAAATATTATTTTTTAGGTGGATTTACATCGAGAAATAACGTTTCGTAATTCAAAACAAACATATAATGGAATACCCGTGATGGCATCTAATATGGATACGGTTGGAACTTTTGAAATGGCCAAAGTTTTGGCAAAGGTATTTTCAAATTTTCAAAAACGTCTGATAAAAAAAAAAAAATATTACTTCTATCTAAAATTTTTTTTTTTATTAATTATTTAATTATTTATTTACGTAGAAAATAATTATTTTTATTATTTAAATAATATTTGTAATATTTATGAATTTTTTATAAAAAATTTCACTTTTTTTAAAAAAAATTTCTGAAATGCTTGGTGTAAAAGCAACTTTTTTTTTTTTTTATTGCAACAAATCAATTTTAATTCATAAAAAATAAATTGTAATGAGTTATTTTTTTTAACAATAAAAGAAAAAAAATTTATTTATTTATTCTTTTAGCACGGGCTTTTCACAACTTTGCATAAATATTACACGGGAGAAGAATGGAAAGAATTTGCGGATAAATATCCCGATTGTATTAAATATACTGCCGCCAGTTCAGGAATTGGTAATGAAGACTTTGATCGTTTGACTAGTGTTTTAGATGCAGTACCAGAAATTGCATTTATATGCATTGATGTCGCAAACGGTTATTCACAACATTTCGTTGAATATGTGAAGAAAATAAGGGCTAAATTTCCCAATCACACTATAATAGTATGAAATTTAAGAACTAATTATTTATTTTACAAAATATAAAATTATTATTATTATTAATAATCTAAAAATGATTAAGGCCATCCGGGAGAAAATAATGGTTTTGTAGATTTCTTCTCATTTGAAAAAAATAGAATATTTTAGGTTGTAATTTTTTGGAAATAATAGAGGAAGGTACCCTGCCAGGGGCTCTTCTCGGAATTTTGCATAATCTTGATAAATAATTATTGAAAAAAATGTTTAAACATTGGCAAAAAGGGGTTTCGTAAATTACTTCTCATCTTTAAAGGATAAAGTATTTCGAGTTGGCATTTGGAGGAATAATAGAGGAAGGGTCACTGAGTGGGGCTCTTCTCCATTTTTGCAATAATATTTTGAGGAAATAATTTTATTAAAGATTTAAAGTGGAGTAATTTGGGGTAAGTTAGTTCAGCAGCGGCCACTAGCTAGAATTGGCGCCACCTTCTGGGCCACTGACACATAGATTCAATGTCTGTGTGCTCGCCTCCCCTACTGTCCCCACTTTTATCAAAAATCAAACTTTTATAATCACGATTTTCAATACTTTTTTATAAAATTACTTGTAAAAATGGAGATGATTCTTAATCAGCTCGCCCTCATCTAATTAATCCGACAAATCCGAACAAGATATTTCAAGTTATTTACGAGTAATATCTCGCGCGGGAAAACACTTTTAGGTTAGGGATTTTTCCCGGATGGCCTTAATTAATTATTTTGTAAAATAATTATTTAATTTGTAAATTAATTAGAATTTAAAAGTAAATATTTATTTATTTCAGGCCGGAAATGTTGTTACGGGCGAAATGGTCGAAGAATTAATTCTTTCAGGGGCAGATGTGATTAAAGTTGGCATTGGTCCTGGATCTGTTTGCACGACTCGAATGAAAACTGGCGTTGGATATCCACAATTAAGTGCAGTGATTGAATGCGCCGATGCCGCTCATGGCTTGAAAGGTCACATTATTTCAGTAAGTTTCATGATTTTTTTTTTCATTGATTATTAATATCAAGTAACAAGTTAAACATTGACATTGAAATAACTCGAAGACTATTTCATCGAGTTTCATTTCAATTGACTGAAACATTCTTTAAACCGTTATTTTGTATTTATTATTAATTTTGTTATTATTATTATTATTATTATTATTATTATTATTATTATTATTATTATTGCCTATTATTTATTTAATTATGAAAATATTAATTGATGATTAGAGTTCTTGAATGTATAAATGTTAAAAGCTATTTTCAATTTTTAAAAAATTAAAAAACAATTTAAATTTTAGATAATTTAGTAAATTTTTGATAAATAAAATAATTAAAATTAGATTTAGAATTAATAAAAAAAAATAATAATAATAATAAAATAATATACAAAATTGTAATCTCCAACAAAAAAAATTACATTTAAATGAGTTTGATAAGTGTTTTAATTTTTTCAATACTTGACGGTAATTAAATATTTACTATTTTCAATTTTTGAAAGATTAAAAAAACAATTAAAATTAGATTCAAAATATATATTTTTTTTCAAACAGATAAAATAATATTTAAAAATTTATAAATCTTAAAAAAGAAACGTACATTTAAATGAGTTTGATAAGTACTATAATTTCTTGAACAAAAGTTTAATTAACTGAAGTTGAAAAAATCTTCCATTCCCAGAAATTGAATTTCTAACAATCTTAAATGATTTTTAAATTAATGGTCTTTCGTAAAATATTCAGTTTAATTAAAAAAACCTTGACTTTTAAATTTCTAGTCACTATTTCATTATGTGATAAATTTACTATTATTACTATTGATATTATTATTTCTTTCTTTATTTATTTATTTAATTTCATTTTACAGTTCATAATTATTTTTCTCGAAATAAAATCTCTTAAATCTGCCTTAGTGATAAATTTATTTTATTTTTAACATTAAGATTATCGCATTGGAAAAAAACCTTAGCGCAAATATATTGAATTTCATATTCTAAAGATCATGTACATTCATCAGAAATTAAACTTTATTTTTCTATTTTTTTAATCTTTTTTTTTATATTTATTTTTACAATCTTATCTATATGATTCATCTATATATTGTAATGAAATTTTTTTTTTTTTTTATTAATCTGAGAAATTCAATTTTATGTAATGTTTTAATGTAAATATTATTAATTAAATTGATTTTACCAGGAAAATCAACAATTTTTTAAATTTACAATTTATGAAAAAACAATTATTTTACTCTAACAATTTCTTAGTTGTTTTTTTTTTTTTAATTCTTTAGCAGAAAGTATAGTATAAAATTAATAATATTTATATTTATGAGGTATTACATTTTAAATTTTCATTCAATAAATTTTCTTCATTAGAACATTTTTACTTAAATTCTTTAGGTTTTGAATTAATTCAAAAAATGAAGAAAATACATATTTTTTTAATTTTGTTATTATTTTGTCATCAATTTAAAATATTTAGAAGAAAAATTATTTATTTTTTTTTCTAATCACAAAAAGGTGAAAAAGTTTTGATTATAAAATTAGAATTAATTCAATTTTTGATTGTGTATAAAATTTGGTTAAATAATTGAATTTAGAAAATATTAAAATTTCTTTCAATATAAATTTTTATCTATAAAAATTAGAATTAATTAAAATTTAAAGGAATAGAGAAATTTTAATTGATTAAAATTTGAATAAATTGAAGTCGAGATTAATATTTTGAGTTTATTGATAAAAATTAAAATATTAATTAATATTTTAAGGATGGAGGCTGTATATGCCCTGGTGATTTAGCAAAAGCATTTGGTGCTGGAGCAGATTTTGTTATGGCTGGTGGTATGTTCGCTGGACATGATGAATGTGGCGGTGAAATAATAGAAAAAGATGGCCAAAAAATTAAACTTTTCTATGGAATGGCATCAAATACTGCAATGAAAAAACACGCCGGAGGTGTTGCTGATTACAGGTAAAAAAAAAAAAAAAACTAATTCTGTATCCCTTAAAGCATTTTCTTTTTTACTTTTTGCAAATCAATTATTTGAAAATATGAAAAATAGGACAAAAAAAAATTAGTTCTTTTTTTTAACATTTTCTACAGTTCCATTTTTATTGTATTTAAGTATAAAGTATTGTTGGAAAAAATCTCAGTTTTCAAATAAAAATAACAAAAAAAAAAATTTTTTCAAGTTTCTAAAAATTTTCTAAAGTTTCTACATTTTTATTTATTTGAATTTAAAAAAAATTAGAATTAATTTTTTAGAATTCATATATCTTGAAAAAATTTTTCATCTTGACTGGAAATTTTGAATTCTGATAATAATTAAATTTTAGATCATCGGAAGGAAAAACAGTGGAAATTCCTTATAGAGGACCGGTTGAAAATACAATATTGGATATGTTGGGAGGTTTACGTTCAGCATGCACTTATACGGGAGCCGAAAGACTTAGAGAATTACCTCGACGTGCCACTTTCATTCGATGCACACAACAGATTAATAACATATATGGACCTCCAATGTGAATCTAGTTTTTTTTTTTCATTATTTTTTGTTTGTTTTTTTAAACAAATCGCTAAATAAATTAAGTATTTTTAGAAATTAAATGAAATGTTTAAAAAAAAATCGTACTTGCTTGCAATATTATGGTATTTGTGAATGAATGCACGTGGATAAAGTAATCCAAAAAAAAAAAAAAAAAGAAAGTTTGCCTGAAAATCGTTTTTCATATCTAATTAATATAATTTAATTAAATAATTTTAATTCAAAAGCAATTAACATATGAAATGTTTGTGCTTCCATGGTATTATAATAGCGCAATATGTAATTTTAATTGTCAAAAAAGCTGTGAAAAACGTCAAATACTTATTGTCAATTTGTTAAGGGTGCTCTTTGTTATATGCGTATATATTATTATATTATATACACGAAAAAAAAATAATAATTAAGTGCTTTATTGTGCGAATGATATTCAATAATTTGTCCATTGAATGTCAATTAATGTTCAATTGTCAAAAATAATTGATGTGAATTATTTTATAATTAACTCTAAATTTGAATTTTTTTCCATTCTTTCAATTTTTTGAAAATTATCATTAAATTAAAATTTCTAATCATTATTTATTACTAATAATAATTTATAGTAGAGAAATTATTACTAATTTTACTAATAATTATTTTTTTTAAATTGAAAATTCAAATTTAGAGATAGTTTTTTTTTTTTGTCGTTCAATATGGACGATAAAAATTGCCTATGAAAACTAAAGCAAGTGTATGCATATTAATTATATATTTAAATATTAAAACGCATAGGAATTGATTTTAGTTGAAACATTAATCAAAGAGTACGCATAAATTTTAACCTTCGTAATAATGTATTTATGATCTCAAACTGAGTATTATTCATCGAAGCAAATGCTGCACATTGTACAATGTCAAAACCAAAAAAAAAATATACTATATTATATAGTAAATAAAAGGGAAGAATTTGGGTATATAGAAGTTGTCTTTGTAATCTTCGAAAAAGATTATATAAAATTATTTTTAAACACTCGACACATGTGTCATAATTTTTCGCGCGTGTTTTTGTTTTTTTTTCCCTCAAAAATTTTTTGAAATATTTTTTATGATATATAATATATTTGTAAAAGGTATCTTAAATTAAATATCACCTTAAGGAACGAATTGATTACCGTCGAGAATTAAATATTTATTATAAATTCATCCTTTTTTTTTTTTTTTTTGTTTTTTTTTGGAGAAAACTCCACAATTATGGCTGACTTTGTAAATAAGTAAAAGAAGATACAAATTCATTACAATGATAAAGTAATTAAAAAAAGAAATGTTACAAATAGGCTTGTTACATTCGAAAGCATGGAAAAAAATGGCGCTTATAAATTGATAAATCTTCATTAACGAAAATTATTTTAAAACGCTTACATTTTTGTTGTAAATTGCAAAACTAGTGGATTGCATGCATTCATCAAATAAAAAAAAAAAACAAATTCCTATACATATATATTTCAAAATTATTTTTATTTTCACTTTGCTACTATCGAAAAAATGAAATTGTTCATTATTGACAATTTCATTAAAAAAAATATTTCTAAAAAAGAAAAAAAAAATAAAGTTCAAAATATAAAAAACAATATTCTTTTTGCACACAATCCGATAGTTTTTTTTTTGCTTATTGACTATATATATTATAATGAATTCAGAGACATTTTTTTTTTCTTAAAATCTAACGGTCTTAGGAATTGGATTGACTTTGAGCTGAAAATTGTTTTGAAACAGAGCTTCGTTTTTTTTTTCTTTTTTTTTTGTGTGAAATTATGTAATACTGAAGAGGCAGCTTGTATTTACACACTGAATCTGCTCTTCCTTGCTTCATCCGCAGTCACAAGATCTCTGACTCTGTTATTGGCCCTTTTCCTGTAATGATATTTATAACAAAAATTTTATAAATCGTCGATGACATTTTTTTTTTTTTTTTTTTTAAATTTTTTTACTCTGTCTCAGAATTATTCTCATTTATCGCTTTTCAAAAATAAATACAGTCTCTATAATTATCATCTATAATATAAACATTGATGTAATAAAATCAGCCTATAATGAAATAAAAAATTATTTTTCATAAAATTCTAATTATTTTTTTTTATCAATTTTTAGTACGTTCTTTAAGGTGGAATTTTGTTGTTTGTTCACTTAATTCTACAGGAAACAAATGAAAATGATTAATATTATTATATAATATTAATTTTGATTTATAATAATATAAAAATCAAAAGAAGCCTGCAAATGTTTTGTACAATATTTTCATCAAATTGGAAACACTCCAAATGACAATTTAAAGAAACAATAAAAAATGATTCAGGTATATTTTTCCATTTCAATGAGCAGTTTCTTATTTTTTATTTTTTGCATATTTTTCGAAGTGACGTTCTTATTGACATGTTTAGAGCCTATAAAAAAATATTACATATTATATTTATTATTATTATATCAATATAATGACATTATTGTTGTTATATTAATAAATTAATTAATTGTTTTTTATGTCCCAGTTAATAGTAATTTAATAAATATAATATATGTACTTTCACATTATACAATAAAAGGAAAATGATTTGAAACTGAATTAGTGATGTGAGGCATGTCTCGGGAATTTTTAACTTTTACGTCCTTCGTGTATAATTTTTTTTTTTTTTTTTTTTTTTTATAAAGATTGTTTTATTGTTAACAAAAAAAAATGTTTTAATTTAAATTTATATTATCAAAATTATTTTTATAAATAGACAATAATTTTTCTTTTTTTTTTTTTATAAATAAAACATAAAAAGTCGATAGTAGAAAAAGAATTTTCTTTTTAGAAAGTTAAATATCCCTGAGGTACCTATATAGTTACAAAAAAAAATCGACATTTTTAAAATAAAAAATCATTCAATTTCAAATGTACAATATTATATCCTGTACCGTTGGCTGAAAAAAAAAACTTTCTTTCGACGTCTCCTCGCACAAAATAATCCCATTCCTTCGTCAATATTGCAATGTTGGAGGACCTACTCAATATAATAAATCTTATTGAAAAAATAAGATATGACAAGTCGAAATTTACAGAATCATTGACAAATTATCTCAGAAACACATTTTTTTTTTCTTTTTCCTGCGTCAACTCATCGAAAATCAATAAAACGAGATTATTTTCAAATTTCAATATTATTACATATATATATCAAAAAATAAGAAATACAATGTCAATTCAATTTTTTTTTCGTTTTTTGCAAAATCAATATAAATTTCAAATATCAAATCAAAATTCATAGTATAATAATTTCAAATATTGGACAAAAATTCATAGTCAATTTCACAATTTCAAATATCGGACAAAAATTGTCAAAATTCTAACAAAAAAAAAAAAATATATGTATAACAATTCAAGTTTAGCTTAAATGATACACATGAGAAAATATTTCATTCACATCCTAAAATATACATTTTGAAATGAGAAATAATAATGATAATCGAAATATTTCAATTATATGATTTGGAAAAAAAGAATCTCGAAAATATTACTCACGAGTTGTGAAAGTTTAGCAGATCGTCCTTTGTGTATGTGAGTGTGTGTGTAAATATATGTAAAAAAAATATTGTCAAATTTTCGAGAACTAAAAAACTTAATAGTTTCCTTGCTCCTGATTCGACGAAGATGAATCCTGTAATTTTAATAAAAAAATGAAAAAAAAGGTAATTTTTTTTTTGTTCTACAAGTGCGCACAAAATTACACCACATACTCGTGAGAAATTGGCTGCTTCCGCATCTAAAATCATTTTTTTTTCGGGGTAATTGTTGACAAGAAAAAGATTATTGAAATAAATCATTACATTTATATCATAAAAGATGTTATTTCATTATTTTCATAATAAAAAAAAAAAAATATAATAATAATATCATACGTTCATATTAATTTATATATATATAATATGTACATATATATGTAAATATATGTAACTCGTTACGAATCAGGAATTATATTCGATACACATCAGGAGAGTACATTCATGACTTATATTCTAAATTGATAAGCAAGCAATTATTATTATCTTGGAATATTGGAGATTTCAAATCTTTTCACAAGTCAGAGAACAAAATTTATTCAATATTGTTTGTTCTATAATTAGATGTACAATTGGATACATTATCTGAGAAAATTTTCCATTAAAAATGATTGTACAAAAAAAAAAAAAATTCCTAAATGTTTAACTGAGAAAAATAATTTTAACTTGACAAAAAAAAAATTTTAATGAAATTTTAATCATTAAATAAGGAAATTTTAATCAAACTTTTTTCTCAATTTGGTTTGTGTAAGCAACATTTTTGTTTTAAAAAAAATTCAAATTTTGTTAATTTTCCATTTATACAAAAAAAAGAAAATATCAATCATATTTTCGATATTTCTTATGCTACTTTTTTTTTTGATTAGCTAAAAAAATTTTTTTTTTTGTTACAATTAAAAATAAATAAGAATTTTAATTAAAACTAATAAAAAAAAAAATAAATAAATTTATTGCTGGACAAAATGTCATTGCTTGCACCAACAAAATTGAATTTAAAAAAACATTTTTTTATTGAAACTGAAATATTTTTAGTTTAATATTTCAGTTGAAACAAATTATCTTTTGGAAAAATAACAACCCGATCAAAAAAAACATTATGCTGTAAAATGAATAAAATTTCTTTTGTTATCAAAGAAAAATATTTTTCTCAAGCGTGTAGACACCACTGGGATATAATTTGTAATAGAATGTCCATTTTTTTTTAAATTGTTAAATAAAGTGAAAAGCATAATTATTCCCTAAAATACTTATTCAAATTTTTTTTTATGACTGATTCACTAGTAATATTGAATTTTTATTTAACAAAATTTCCATATAAAAAACACTAAACGAAATTTTTGTTCAGTTAAATTTTGTATTAAGCCGAATTTTCAATTTACAGAATTTTTATTTAATGATTTTCATTCAACAGAATTAAAAAAAATTTTTATTTTTTAAATTCGTATTGAAATTCTGTTAAATGGAAAATATTTTTGAAATAAAATTTCTAATCAATGAAAATTCGATTAAATATAAAAATTCTATATACTAAAAGGATAGAAATTCTGTTAATTATATAGAAAATTATAAATTATGAAACACTGAAAATTTGAGTTAATTATGATTTTTAGGGAATATTTATGTAAATGAAAAAAAAACAAAACTTAATTTTCTACTTCTTGAAAACTGGTGGAAAAAAATTAACAAAAAAAAGAGATTTTATCAATTCCTCAAGATATAAAAAAAAAATTTGCTACTAACATGTGTTTAATTTTTAAATAAACAATTTATAAAAAAAATAAAAGTATATAACAAATTTAATTAAAAACAAAAGTCCTATCATCACCATTCATAAAAAAAATGAATTATCTCACAAATCTGCCTAGTGGTATAAACATTTTTTAGAAAAAAAAAAAAAATGTATGAATTAAAATTGACATTTTTCATTTCTTAAGTTCAATTGAAATTTTTCATTTCAATTAAAAGACATTTTTATGATTTTTAGTTTCAATATGTACCTATAGAAAGTATTTTTTTTTTTTGCATTTCTTTGAAGAAAAAAATACTAGTAAATAAAAAAATTTTTTCTTTTTTTTTTTAGAAAAAAAAATCACGTTTTTTTAACCTGTTGAAAGAAACACTTTTTTTTTCCTCTTGGAAAAGTATTGTTTCGTTCTATATTTATATTTCAGTGCAAGTGTTAAAAAGCGAAGGGTTCTATGGTGTGTTTAGGGGGCATTATTTCGACGTGTTTCCGGTTTCTTCATCACTCAGCTGCATCGTCACCTGCTAATCTGAACTTATCTAGCGACTAATTATCATGGAATACAAGTACATATACATATATATATGATAAAGAGTCAATATGGAAAACAGACGGATATATATGTATATCTAATGATGATATTTGCTAAACGCTATAAATTTCGATATTGAGGGTCTTATAATTAGAATTAGTTGATTAAAATCCCTACAGTATAGAAAAAAAAGAAAGCAAACAATATTATAGCGTTTTATAAATAAGACAGAGTTTTTTTTTCGGTAATATCGGCGAATTTTTTCAAAGGCTGGTGACTGTTTCGTTTCAGTATTATTATTTTTTGTTTGTTTTGTTAAATATTGTTTTTTTGTTATTATTATTATTTTTTTTATATATATATATCAAGCGGCCAATTATACTGCATTAATTGAAACATTATACGAAGATGGATTCTGCAAACTTTAAACGCGTCTCAACTGGAAACTTATCTGTAAATCGTCTGAAATAAATAAATGATTATTGCACATGTCATTTGTGTATGAGATGTGATATAATAAAAAAAATAATATAAAATTATTGTGTCTATGCGTTCGTAAAAGAGTCCCTTCGACACCCATTGCTGTATGAAAATATAATAATATTTGCGAGAACAAAACAAAATATCGATCATCAATAATATTAAAAATTTTTATGACATTACATTAAATATATTGTGAATATTGTTATTACTATAATAATATATCGTTTATTATAGTTTTCCTGAAACGAGGTGTGAATAATACACATCGAATAAAATAATAAAATTCCTTTTTAAATATATATTCAGTGATTATTTTCATTTTCTTTTTTTTTTGTGTCACGCCGAGACTCAAAAGCCAATTTAAAATAATTTACAATAATAATGTAGTTTTTTTTTTTTTTTAAAAAGTGTTTACTATTTAATAATAATTACATAATTAATTATATAAGTAACATTTAATTTGGTTACATAGGAAAATGAGAAAGAGAAAAATCTCACTGTACAAGTGTCATTCAAGTTTTTTTTTTTTTTTTTTTTAAATTGACTTCGATAAGCACAATAAAAATTGAGATGATGTACGAATGACAAAAGACTTTACAATTTAATTATATAATATAAATGAGTAACAAAAGAAAAAATAAATAACAATTCATTAATGAAAACTAATTTCTTTAATAATTAATAATGTCATTCATTTTTAGCTACGAATTTTTATTCTCAAAAATTTCAAAAAATAATCCTTTTTTGTGTAAAACTCTTGTAATTGTAAACCAATTGCAAAAATATCATTTTCCCTATTATAATATTTATAAAACAAAAACTCCAAATATAAATTTTTGTTGATTACTATTTATAAAAAAAAAGATAAACTTTGTACAAATAATTGTCATATAAAAAATTAACACTCTGGAAATCTTCTCAGAAGCATAACTCTTGAAAAAGAAGGAAATAAAAAAAAATAAAACAAAAGAAAAATGATCGAAATAAATTTTATTATCCTTTCCATCGAAATACAAAAATTAAAATAAAGACGTATTTTCTTTTCATTTTTTTTTTTTTTTTTTTAATATAATTATAACAATACAAAAAAAGTAGAAAAAAATTACAAATAAAAAAACATTCCAAATATGACACATGACAAATAAACAATGAAGTGAATGGAAAAAATTGTGACAAAAAAAAAATAATAATAAAAAAGAAAATAACGTACATCATCTCAAAAATATGCAGAAGAAAAAAATGATTAATATTCGATCATGAACTTACAGTGTTTTATTATGTTTATTGGCCTTTTTCTCAGTTATCGGAGTTTGGCTGTGGATATGGATAATTTTGATATCCAGTTGGGAAAGACGGATTTTGTTGTCCTGGTTGGGGTTGACCTGCGGAATTTGCAGCACCACCATAATAAGCGGGAGCACCGCCGGCATTCATTCCTGGATAATTTCCATAAGCTTGTGGAAATGCATTCGGTGTTGCGCTTTGTGGTCCAGCTGGTTGTGCCTGCATCGCCGGCTGTATTTGTAATTGTACCATTTGATTATTAGGCGCACCCATCTTCAACAAAAAAAAAAATAAAAAAAAAAAAATGAAGACTTTCAAATAGAAAAATAACAAAAAAAAATTCTCTATTTATTTTATTTATAAAGACAGAAACTTTGTGCTTTCAAATAATGTCAATTATGATATTATTATGATTTTAAAAATACTTTGATTATATGCTTTACATCTGATAAATTTTTACTTACATAATTTCAAAATTACTAAATTATATCTGATAAATTTAAAATTGAATTATTGAAATGAAAAAATATCTAAAATTTCAAATATCTTTCAATCAATAAAAAAAAATACAGCAATTTTTGAAAAAAAAAATCAAAGCGTTTTCAAAGTTTTTAAAATTTTAATTTTTTTCAAGATTCACCTTTAACGTATTAATAATACTTTTAATTCTGAATTTTTTTTATATCAAAAAATCATGATTTTTAATAGGTGTACAATCTAATTATTTACATTTTTTTTTTTTTCATTAAAATTCTTCGAAATTTTAAGTATATAGGGTAAAAGTGTGAGTATCCGGTAACGATATTTTCAAGTTTAATAAAATTTCGAATCTTTTATTATTAATTTGGAAAGAAATTTTATAAAGTAATTATGATAATGAGTTATTTTTTATTCGCCAAAAACCATAAAAGTCTCCGACTACCAGTATACTCTCCGAAATTACCCACGTTCACCCTATTAATATTAATAATTTTTCCTTTAAAAGTTTACATGTCGTAAATTAATAAACTAACCTTTAACACGAGAAAAAATAATTTTAACCAAAAAAAAAAAAAAAAAAAAAAATGAAAAAAAATCGAATTGAGAAAAAAATACAAAATTAATTTTTAAACAATAAAAATTTGAATTTAAAAAATTTCAAAATATTTTTCATATAGGTTTATAAAAAAATTAATAAAAAAAACAGCATACAATCACTGAATTGTAAAATAAATTCGAAATTCATATTTTTCTCAATTTTTGAACGTTCAAATGGATGAAAATAATTTTTTTGTTCTATAAATTTTTTTCAAAATTACTACAGCAGTGGAAAATAAGAAAGTACTTTAAAAAAATGAAATAAATCATCAATTTATTTTTAAATACAGGAAACAATATTTTTATTTAAAAAAAGAGAAATTGAAAAATAAGAAAACAAATTCGTTTATTTGAACGTTCAGAACATCAGAGACATATATATAAATTCATAAGATCGAATTTCTGTTTAATCAAATTTTATAAAGTGGATATTATATTGAACTGAATTTTCATATTGCAGAATTATTATTTCACATTGAATTTTCATTAAACAGAATAGTTAACAGTATTTAACAGAATTTTTATTTTTAACAACCCCTATACTTAAAAATTATACTGATTAGAAATTTTCTAACGCATAAATAGGTTTTAAAATTCATTATTTAGTTATAGAAATTTCATTAAACAAAATATCTTTTAAAACGAGTTCTTATATTATGCAAAATTTTTTACTTAACCAAACTTTCATTTCTCTAAATTTTTATTTAACCTATAGTTTTGATTTTAAAGAATTCTATTTACTCGATTTTTTCATTTAGCAGAATGTTCACTAAAGCTAAATTTGTTAGTGCTAAAATTTTCATTTCAGAAAATTGTCATTTATCCGAATTTTTATTTGCACAAATTGTCATTTGATATTTAGAGAATATTTTTAAAACATCGAATGTTTTATTTGACAAAATTTTCATTCTTGTTCGAAATTTCAAATTAAAATAAAATTCCATGAGAATTGTTGTACAAAAAAAAAAAATATTTCAAGTGAAAGAAAAATTCTGTTAAATAAACAAAAAACTTCATTAAAAAAAATTTAATGAATGAAAATAATTTGGTTAAATTTGAAATTTTTTGTTCTAATAAAAATCGATTTAATGAAAATTCGAACTTATAAATTTTAGGTAATATAATTTAGTATCTCAAAAGAAAATGATTTATACCTTGCCAGCTTTCATTTGTGATTCAATTGCTTCAGCTTCTTTAATTTTGCCGATACTTCTGTAATATTCAGCCCATTGTGCACTATAATCGGCTTGTCCTCCATTTTGTGCAGCAGCTTGCTGTGCTTGCGGCTGTGCTTGTGTTTGCTGTTGTGTTGGACCCGCACCTCCAGCTGCTGCTGGATTCGAAGGATTCGCGCCTCCTCCTAAAGGCACATAGATTTTATAAAAAAATTAAAATTAATAAAATAGAGAAGCAATTTCTTCTAAATGAAAATTAGTTTTCATAGAAAAGAAAAGATTTTCTAATTTTTACTAAAAGAAAATTAATTTTTATTTTATCATTTTACCTGCTTGTGAATTGAGATCAGGTTTTCCTTGCTTGGCTTGTTGTTCAATCATCTCGGCTTCTCGATGCATTCCCAATGAACGATAATATTCTGCCCACTGTGCACTGTAATCTGGCTGTCCAGTTTGTGGATTCACTTGAATTGACCCTTGATTTGGATTGCCAGCTGAAATTTTTTTTTTAAATTAAAACTTACAATAGATTTAATTCAATTACAAAAAGAAAATCATAAAAAAAATTTTCATCTTTTAAAATGTTTATTCAATATTCTAACAATTTTTATTAAAAAAAAAAATGAATTATCTAAAACTAAAGAATATGAATAAATTTACTTACATGGATCGGTCGGTTGTGGTTGACTAGGCCAAGCTTGATATCCTGGATTCGCGTTCCAGCTTGGATTATAACCAAGTGCACCTTGTCCTGGTTGTCCGTATGGTGCGGCCTGTCCACCCGGGGCCTTAAAATTAAAATTTTTTTTTGTCCCTTTCATTTTCAAAACGCAGAAGAGATAGAGAGAAAAAATAATCAACATTAAAACAACTTACCATTCCCAATTTTTCACTAAATAATCTCTTGGCATGCTCAACTTGTTCTGGATTACCGCGGATAAAGAAAATCTTTTCAATTTCATTGTTTTGATTTCGTCGATCCATTTCACAATGAGCTCCCGTTTGCATATTTATCTGTTTAATTGTTTCGCCACCTTTGCCAATTATAATTCCACATTTCGTGGATGGTACTGTAAAGGTTGTTTCAACCTTATCTTGCATTGGACCGCCTCCACCACCACCTCCACCGCCACCACCGCCTTGACGCCTATCCCAACCACCGTATTCATTTGGTCGTCCACCGCCGCCAAATCCATTTCCACGTGGACCATTTCTTCCACCGCCCATTGGATTTCTTCCATCATCTCGTCTCTGTTCGAACGGAGAAAAAAAAAAAAATTTTTAATTCTTTCTATAAAAGAATTTAAATTAATAATTTACGACATTTTTTAAAGCACTTTTTATCTAAAGTTGTTTTTGCTTTTTTTTACAGGCTACTAAAATTTGGGAACAAAATTCAAGAATTTTTCACGATTTTATTAAAAATTTCTACGTTTTTTAAATTGAAATTTTATCACATAATTTTCAATTAAAATTAAAACGTGGCTTATTTTAAGTGTAAAACAAGAATGTAGTTCTAAGTAAAATATTCATAATATTAATTCCTTAATAAGAATAATTCTATAAGAATATTATCAAGAAAATTGTAATAAATTTTCAAAATTTTAATTAACTAGGACAAATTTCTAAAAAAAAATCTTAAAGTTCCATTTTTAAAATTAAAATCATTAAAAGTAATTGAATTTCAGAAGTGTTATAGTTGAAATTATTTTTTAGAAAATTTTTAGATCTCACAAGCTAAATTCAGTTTGATTATCTACTTATTTTGTAATCTATTCATAAAATCAGTTCATATTGGTATTTGAAATTTTTTAAAATTCATAAAACTTCAAGATTTAATGTAAAATATTTCATATTTCCACATAAATAATTAAAAAAAGATAATATAAAAGTAAATTAAAATTACTTCATTTTAAACAAAATTTAATCAAAAAAATATTAATTCATTTTCTAGAAAAAAGTGTAAACTTTAATATAATTAAATTTTCTCTTTACAAAAATAATTTCTAATTACCATTACGCTGTCAATTAGCTCCTGAATACGTTGCCGAGCTTGTTCGACATTTGGAGCTTTTCCTGACAAGAGACATTTCCTATCACCAGGACCGTCCTCTCTTCCCTGTTGGAATTGCATACGTGCACCAGTTTCGGCTTGAATTTTCTTTATCATATCACCGCCTTTTCCAATAACAACACCAACGGCAGCTCGCGGAACAAGAATCTAATAGCAAAATAAAAATTTTTTCTACATATTAATTATTTATTATTAATGAAAAAATTGAATATTAAAAATTAAACAAATATATTTTGTTGAAAAAGAAAAAATCATTAATATTCAAAAAAGAATTTTACAATGGAATAATTAATATTTATTTATATATTTTATTATTGTTTAATATTTGTTTATGATTATTATAAAAAGTTAAATAAATAATTAAATTAAATTATATTTAATTTCATAATTTTTATTACCTCAACACCTTCACCATTTGGCGGTCCTTGATTGAAACCAGCTCCAGGATTTCCTCCACTATTATCATTGTTAAAATTACCAGGTCCTCCGGCTCCATTTCCACCTCTGTCACCACCACCTCCACCACGTGGGCCTCTGTTAAACATTTGCATTTCCTTTTCCGCTATTAATTCATACACCAAAGTTTTGGCATATTCAACTTTTTGTGGATCACCAGTGATTCTAAAAGAAAAAAAAATTTCTAAATTAATAAAAAACATTTAAGAAAAATAAAGAGAATTTATTATTTTTTTCATCAGTTCATAAAATTGACTAGTCAATTAAATTACTTTTTTCCTTTGTACACTTTTTTTAAAGATTTTTTTTTTTTTTTTAAAGATAATCTATAATGTCTTCATAAACAGAAATGAAAATGACAATTATGTAATTAATTTTTAGTGTTTAACACAAAAGTATAAGGGAATAAATAAAACACTATTTTTAACAAAACACAAACACTTATAATTATTATAACAAAAATTTAAAAAAAATATATATATATTAATTTAAATAAACGAGACAGTAAGTAATCTGCTCATATAATAATATAGAATATCGACTTAAATTTAAAATGTCGATGTAAAAATTTTTGTGTTAAGACAAGGTTAAATTGAGAGCATACAAATCGAAACAATAACAAACTCATAAACACCATTTAGAGAAATAAAGCAAAACTATACAAAATATTGAAATATTTCAAAAATTTTCAGTCACATTATATAATATGAAAAATTTAAATTCTTAATTAAAAGTTTGTTTCTTATTTAGATATTACTTCGAAAATAATTAACTTATTTTTTTAAATATTCTTAGACTTATTTTGATGATAATAATATTTTTAAATTTTCAAAAATAATTTTTTTTTACTTGCTTCTACGAAATATCTTAATTTTATTGAATAATTGAATTGAAAAAAAATGAATTAAAAAATAAGTGAATGTTACAATAATTTAATTTCAAATAAACGAAAATTATTCCCGAAATTTGAATTTTTAGTAAAATTTTGTAACTTGTAACTTTTTATAAAAAAAAAAGAATTTGACACTTTTACTGCACTGTGCTAAACTGTAACGTAAATAAAAAATTTCGTTTATTTTGTTAAAAAAAATTTTTTTAATCTAACTTTTGCTTATTCCAAATTCTGATTAGAAATTGTGTTTCACATTAAAAAAATTATTAATTATTTTGAAAAATATGAATAGACATTTGAACAAAATATTATGTATTATTAGGGAAAATTTTTATTCTCGCCTAATATTATGCAGTTTTAATTTTTAATTATTGAGAATTTAATTTTATTGAAAAAATCAGTTCAGGCCTCGGATCGACTATAAGGCACAAAAAATATGTCGATTTAGTTGATTTATATTTAAAAAAAAATCAATTTTTTTATTTTATAAAAATTTAATTTTCTTTAAATTAATAATGTTATTAGATATTAAATTCATTTTATTAATTCTGTAATGAGAATAATTCTATAAAAATATTATCAAAAAAATTTATTTCAATTATTTTAGAATCAAACTAATTGTAAGATAAATTTTCAAAATTTTATTTAAGTAGTCCAAATTTCTAAACAAAATTCTTAAATTTCCATTTTTATAATTTTTTTAAGTCTAATTTAAGCAATTTATTCGAATTAAAAATTTTGTCATAGTTTTTAGTTTTGATGGTCATAAAAATTTCAGGCAATACTTAATTAAGTTTTACTGACTTTTTAATAAATGTTTTTTTTTTAAATAATAATAATAATAATAATAATAATTTTGAAAGAGTTAAAGTTGAAATTTTTAGAAATAATTGAATTTCAAAAGATTTTATTAATTTTCAGATAATAATTAAATTTTACAGAACTAAAAATAATTTATCAAATAATTTTAGATAATATTTTTTAAAAGTAATTGAGAATTTTCAAAGATTTACAATTTAGATTTTTGAAATTAATTGAACTTCAAGTAAAAATTGTTTCAGATAATTAAATTTTCAAAGAATATTTTTTTTTTTTTTGCTTAGGGACTTTTGGGAAATCTATATACAGATACCTTGGCTTCCGCATGCCAAGGTTATGTGGGGTTGGTAAAAAAAAAGGTGAACACTAAACAAAATAAGCTGGCGAACTACTACCAGCCCCGACCCACTAAAACCCGTCAATAATTAAATTTTACAAGCTTATAAATTGAAATTTTTGATAATAATTGAATTTCAAAAGATTATGTTAAATTTCAAACAATAATTATAATAAGAGAAATTTTTAGTGATTTCTGTTGATGAAGAATTTATTGAAAATCACATACAAAAATTGAATTCCAAAAATTTTTAATTGAAAAATAGTTTAAGATAATTAAATTTTCGAAGAATATTATAAAAATCATTAAAAATAATTGAAATTTTTGCAAATACATAATTAAATTTCAAGTGATTTTGAATTAAAAATGTTTAGTAATTTTATTTGCTAATTTTTTTAAAATTATAAACAATTATTAAATTTTATAAAAATTTTAATTGAAAAATAGTTTAAGATAACTGAATTTGTGAAGAATTTCATTAAAATTATTGTATTAAAAATTTTTAAATTAAAAAATTAAAATTTTGTAAAAAAAAAAGTCGAAAAAGTCGCATTTTATTAAAATAAGTCGAAAAAAGTCGTATAATCCGAGGCCGGTCAGTTAAATTTTATTTTTTTTTAACAAAAACAAAAAAAAAAACTTTTAACATAGTAAATAAAAAATCTATCATAATTCATTAGAAGGTTTCAATTTTTTAAAATAATCGAAATAACAATCTTGAAAAATAAAATATCATTATTACCAAAAATTTCATTTCATAAATTTTTTTTTTTTTTTTTTCTGTTAAAAGAAAAAGGAAAAAATTCAAACCTCAAAGGCTTCTCTTGCTCCTGATTGGGTCCTTCTTGAATAACGACCATTTTTGCGCCAGATTTCTCCTGAAGATGTTTAATTGTTTCACCTCCTTTTCCAATGATGAGACCAACTTTAGGTCCAGGAATCATAATTTCAACGAAACCAGGATGACCCATCATTGGTGTTGATGTTGGTGCTGGTTGCGATTGACCCCCAGCTTCTCCAAATGGTACACCAACGGATGGTGCTCCAATGCTGACATTTAATTCTCCTGGTGTTCCGGTTTCCGTTCGACTACGTTGATTCACAATCGACAGCACAAGATCCTTCGCTCGACTGAAACAAACATACACAAGATTTGTGTTAAAAAAAAAAAAGAAAAAATAGACAAAATTAGAAAAAAAAATTGTTTTCTTTAAATAAACTAATTAAATATACAATAATAATTTCCATTTAAATATAACACATAATCAAAAGACATAATCTATTGTGCTCAACAAGTGCAATTCAACAACTTATACATAGTTTTCTTTCTTTTTTAAAAAAAAAATATATATATATATGACAGCAATAAATAATACACGAGAAACTTAAAAAGAGCCCTATTTTTTTTTTTTTGGAAAATCATTTTTCTATGTGTAAAGAGAAACATTTTTCAGTAGACAAAACACATTGTCTTCCCCCATGCATATCCTATCCTCCTTCCTTCTCCACAACCCTAGTAAAAGTAAAAAACTATTAGTAAATAAGAAATCACAGAAATTCGAAACATCTTTCGACAGAAATAACAAAAAAAAAAATATCCTACCCCAATTAAAATTAACAATAAAAAAGATGAATTCAAAAGTCATGTACTCACTTTCATGACAATAATATGCGTTTATTCTGCACATAGAAATCGTAATCTCGAAGATTCAATTTAATTTCATAAGAATTATATAATATATATTAATTATTAATATATAAATCAAATACAAAATCATATTAATTAAATATAAATCAGATATACAAGAAATGTGAGAATTCGATATTTTTTTTTTAATTTCCAAATCGAATATAAATCAACACAAAATTGAATTATTTTTTTCAATGATAAAATTTCATTTGATTTTAAAATTATTTTTAACTCAAATATCTATTCAATTTCAAATAAAATTCCATTTGACATATAAAAGTAATGTTATTAATTTCCAAATCATCATTTAAATGAAATTTAATTAAAATATAATAGAATTTATATTTTAGATCAAACAAAATTTTAATGGAATTCAAATTTCGATTAAATTTGATTTTTTTGTAAATACAAATTCGCACATTTCTTATATATATAGACAATTTTTTTTTAAAAATACATAATTGAGATTATAAATTGTAAATTTGCAAAATATTAAGGAGGATAGCAGATTTGCTTGGCTCATTTTTTAAAAAAAAATTTTTTTTCTTCGTGCTTAGAAAAATTATGTTATCACCTGTCGTCATGCTAAAAGCGTTTTACGATTCCTACATGTGAGTATCTAATAAAAATTTCTATTTATTTTTTTCAGGTAAAACTATAAGTATAAATCTATAAATATATTTATGTTGTATAAAAATTTATGTTAAAGAATAAAAAAATGAACATGAATAGAAAAATTAAAAGAGGCGATGTCACAAATTTCAACAGTCATAAGAGTCGACAGGACGGAAGTATTTTTTTTTTTTTTTTTTTTTTTGTAAGGGATTATATTTGAAGTAATAAATAAGAAAAAAAATATGCGTTACTTGACAGCATCTCGCGATCCTGTTAGAGTGCAAATGCGTTCTGGCAAACCGCTTTCTGGCGCCATTTGTATTTTACATCCTGTTTCACTTTGCAACCTTGTTATTTGTTCTCCACCTCGTCCAATTACTGAAATAAAATAGTTTTTTTTTTCATTAGAATATTAAACCACAAGAGTGTTGGAGAAAAAATTGATTTAACAAAAATTCTTCAATTAAACATTTAGTTACATGAATTTGGAATTTATAATGTTGAATTTCTACTTAATCAAATTTTTTTACAGAAGAATTTATATCAAACAGACTTTATATAGCAAAGAATTTTTAATTAACCGAATTTTTTTTAAATATATCACATATTCTGTAATAATTCATAAAATTTTTATTAAAAGAAATGTTTATTTATAAATTTATATTTGATAGAATTTTTGTTTCTATTTAACGAAATTATTATTATTTAAGAAAATTTATGACCAAAAAGCAAAAAGATTGAAACAAAACTTGAAAAAAAAATGAAAAAAACAAAAATTTTAGAAAACTAAAAGAAAATCTAAAATTTTAAGGATAATTATAGAATTTTGTCTTTTTTGTGAAAATAAGCAAATAATTTCAAAAATACAAAGGAGAATTTCAGAGACAAATTTCATTTAAAAAATTGAAAATTTGAAAGAAAAATTGATAAATTTAGAAAGTCTCAAATTAAAAAGAGAATTTTTAGAAAAAAAGGAGAATTTCGAATCAATTTGTAAAAGTAAAGAAATAAATAAATAAATATAAATTTAAAAAAAGAGTAATTTAAACGCAAAAATATGTATTAAATTTTTTTTGAGAAAATAAACAGAATATCACAAATTTAAAAAAAAGACATTCTTAGAAAACAATTGTGGGAAAAATCAAGAATATTGTCACGTTCATACAAATAAATAAATAAATAAATCAAAAAAAAAAATTGTATAAAGAAAATTTTTTTTAACAGAATTGTTATATTTAGTAAATTTCGATTTATCAAAATATTTACTTAACAGCATTGACGTTGAATAACAAAGTTTTTATTAAAGAAAATTTTAATTCGAATTAATTCTTATTTAACAAAATTCTACTTAGTTCTTTTTTTGTCAATTTTTATAGACATAAATTTCGTTAAATTGAAATTATATTAATTTAAAATTTTAAAAAAAATATTAGAAAAAATTATAAGAGTTCAGCTAAATAGAAATTCTTTTAAATCGAATTTTAGTTAAATGTAAATTAAAAATTTTGCATAATATAAAATCCAATTTATACATGGGATTAGTGACATCTCTAAATAAGTTAACACAAGAAATCGCAAAACTCACTAAATCACATGGCGAAATGCGTCAAGAAGTTTCCGATATTCATAAGGATACGAAAGAGGCACTTAAAAAATGTGACCAACTTGAGTCAAATCTGGAATCTCTGAGGTCAAATTGCTCTTTCATCACGAAGAAAATGAGGGAAAACAATGTTATCTTATATAATATCTCCGAGCACATGGCAAGTGAAACTGAGTTGTGCGCAGCCATTTTTTCCATTTTCGAGAAACTTCAGGTGAAAATCCCGGATTATGCTGTGAGTGATTTTTATCGTCTGGGCAAAAAATCTGAGGAGACTATTCGTCCTACTATGGTCAAATTTGCGGGTACGAGATGGGTCAAGCTTATCTTCTCCAAGGTAAAAGAATTCAGACACCTAGACATCTTCATATCTAGAGATCGCTCCAAGGAGGAAAGAGCCGCTCGAAAACTACTACATAAGAAAGTTCAGAAGTTAAAAGAACTGAATTTTATTCCAAAAATATCACATGATAAAATAGTTATCGATGGCAAACCGCTGGAAGATTTCCAAATTGATAAAATATTACAAGGTGAAACAAAGAACCAGACACTTTTGGACATTGGCTCAGAAGACGTCTTCAAAACACCAGATATAGCTAAAAGAGGTCGTCCAAGGGGATCTCGCACAAGCAAAAGTGTAGCGTGTAAACAGCTAACAAGCTTTTTCACTCCAGGACGTAAACGAAACGAAGAGGAAATATTAAACGGAGATAAACAATAGCAGAGGGGAACCGCACGTCAAGATGTCAACATATCTAATTTAACAGTAATGAATGTTTCAAGTTGTGGCCCGGCGGGAAGGTGTTTATTTTGGAATTGTCGTGGCTTCTTAAATTTCAAGGATATATATAGTGTGATTGGTGACAGTGATATAATTTGTTTATATGAGACCTGGTTAACGGAGACAACGATCACATATATAGCTCCATCTTTCCGGTACGTACAGGTCCCTGCAAAAAAAACTATGTATTATGGAAGAGCCAGTGGGGGAATTTTAATTCTTTATAATGAAAATCAATATTCAACTAAAGTGATAGCAGAGTCTGACGTCTTTGTCTTTTTAAATGTACATTCTCTTAACGGAAAATTTATTTTGGGGGTCGTTTACCGTCCCCAGTCAGTAAAGATTCAGAATTTTTTAGATGAGCTAACACCAGTCTTAGAAAAATTAATTTATTCATTTCCGGAATACGACATTGTGCTGGGTGGGGATTTTAATTGCCGGATCGCTCAACTTAATCAAATTGATGTCAATATTGTGGTCGATGCTAATCTTACGGCAGCTAGAGTTTCATGTGACGAAGTGTATAATAGTAATGGTAATGTGTTGGTGAAAGTTTTGGAATCGTATGGCTTCTTGTTGTTGAATGGTAGGACTAATGGAGACTCGCCGGGAAATTTTACTTATGTTAGTTCCATCGGTGTGAGTGTGATCGACTTGGTGTGGATCTCAGTGAGCGGTACACGTATGATCAAGGACTTAAAGGTATTACCAATATTAACAAATTCAGATCACTTCCCGGTAATAGTCACTTTTATAAATCTATTAAAGAGTCATGGGAAAAAATATTCAAAAGAAACACAAAAGGTTAAAGATTACAATTTAGTTTTTAATGTTGATAAGGAGAGTGATTTTTATTTCTTGATGGAGGAATCCTTTGACGAGACACACTTATCGGGCGACATCGATCACCTTGAGGATTATTTACTATCTACAATAGTTAAGAGTGCGTGTTCTTTGAATATGAAAAAAGAAAAAATAAATTCAGATTTCCCTCATGTAAACAGGCCGTGGTTTGATAAAGATTGCATTGAGCAAAAAAAACGCGTTAAGTCACTTTTAACTCTTTGCAAAAAATCGCGATTTATGGGGGATGGTAAAATGGAATATGTAAATGCAAAGAAACATTACAAAAATCTGCTAAGGGATAAAAAACGTTGTTTTGAATCTAATAGAGTTGATCAATTGTCGATGGTAAATGATCCTACAAATTTCTGGAAAATTGTAAATCAGGCAAAGGTCCGAAATTATAATGTTAACAATTTGAATGTGGATGTTTGGGAACAATACCTTCGAGACTCTTTCCCCCCCCATGACATAATTGAGTTTGATTTATCTTATCAGACTAATTCTATTTTAGACTCGCCTATAACGATAGAGGAAGTAATTCGTAGTCTTTTAAAATGTAAGGGCAGTACGGCCCCGGGTGTGGATAAAATAAAAGGAATTTTTTATAAAAATTTACCTCCCTCTTGGATCGCCTTCTTATGTAAATTTTATAACAAAATTATGGAGGAGGAAAGAGTGCCGGAGGAGTGGGGACAGATACAGATGTCTATGTTACCAAAAAAAAATAATTCGTCACAAAATCCGGATGATTTTAGACCTATTAGTCTAGTTAAGGTAGGAACAAAAAACTTCACTCAAATTTTGTCTGACAGAATAACGCAATGGGCTACAAATTCGAATTTGTTCGCGGAATTTCAATCGGGTTTCAGGAAGGGAAGAAGTTGTATGGACAACCTGTTCACGTTTATATCCTTGATTCAAATACACGAATATAGAGGGAATCAAGCATTGTATGCGATTTTCGTCGACTTTAAGAGTGCGTTCCCGTCAGTCCTTCACCACAAACTGTGGGAAAAATTACATGCGCTGGGTTTAAGTTCAAAAATTATCAATATTTTGAAGGATTTTTATAAAAAAGCAAAAGTTGTTATTAAAACAAACAAGGGGAAAACTAATCCAACAAATGTTACGAGAGGTGTATTACAAGGCGAAACGTTAAGCCCATTACTTTTTTTGTTGTTTGTAAACGACCTGGAGGAGTTTTTGATAAAAGAGGGTTGCACAGGCATCTTAATTAATAAAATTAAAGAAATCTTTTTGCTTGCATATGCTGACGACCTTGTCTTGTTCGCTGATACGCCTTGGGAATGCTCTCGCAAATTGAGGGCTTTATCGCGCTACTGTAAAGAGAATGGTCTAACCGTAAATGCAAAAAAAACAAAAATAATGATTTTTAATTTCAAAGGGGAACACTCTAATAATATAAAGTCTTTTAAATTTGATAAAGAAACTATTGAAGTAGTTAAGGAGTTTACTTACTTGGGTCTCGTTATTTCCGACTCACTCAGCTTTTTTAATATGTCTAAAAAAGTGATCAGCTCAGCAAATTTAGCGATTACTTCCTGTATAAAAATTATAACAGCTGTGAAAGCCGATAACTGGAAGACATACGATAAACTTTTTCAAAGTTTTATTTTAAGCGTGCTGACCTATGGGGTGCAAATTTGGGGTTTAAATTTTGTAGAGAAGTTGGAAACGGTCCAACTAACCTTTTTAAAGAGAATATTGGGTCTCCCTATCAATACCTCTTCAATAGCGGTTAGATGTGAGACGAATGTTCTCCCGCTATCATATACAATTTTGAAGTTAACTCTCTCCTGGATGAAAAAATTGCACTCCATGGATCATTCACGATATCCGAGATTGTGTGTCGACGAAATGATGAGACAAGCGCAGAAAAACACGGGAAGCGGGAATAGAAATTGGTTTTCTCAATTTAAGTCCCTGTTTGATGTTTGCAATTTTTCTGAGATTTGGGAATCGTTCTCTCTTGAACTTATTACTAAAAACTCAGATTCTATCTTAGAAAAATATGAAAAGCATTTGCGAGAGCAGGACATGGGTTACTACAGGACCTCGAAAAGTTTGCAATTTTGGCCACACTTGACGTTCTCTTCCCCAGGAAGCTCATATATTTTTAAGAGAATGCCTATTTTTTATAAACGAGTTTTCGCGCAAATAAGACTTTTAAATTTTTACAACCCTAGAATCATTGCAAAAAAAGAAAAATTCATTATAGAATCGAATGACCTCTGCCCCTTGTGCCACCTGGAACCAGAAAACCTTTTACATATGTTATCGCTTTGCCCAGAGTACAATTTTATCCGCCATAAACACCCAGAAATTTTCAATAATAGCAAAAATAACCCTGAGGCCTGGCTGACGGATATGAGCTCTAATGAGCCCTCTTTTATCAAGAACTTTGTCTTGGCAATTTTGGAAATTTTGCGAATAAGAGCGGAGGCGAATACGTTTTTACCAGAATAAAATATAAAAAGTAAAAAAAAAAAAAAAAAATAAAGTGTGGATGTCTGCTTTGCGGTTCTAGTTTTTATTATTAGTTTTTAGTATCTTTCTACAAACATGTAAAACCGGCAATCTCAATTATTATTATTGTCTACTCATTTATGAGACTCCTATGTATGGACCTTGGTGTCCTAGAGCATTAAATAAATCTAAATCTAAAATCTAGTATGTAAATAATTATTTATGTTTAATAATTGAGTGGAAAGGCCAACTTTTTAATTTGCATTTGCTTTGGCAAAAAAGTAAAAAAAATATTTTGAAACTAATAGTTACTTTAATTTATTTATAATAAAATTTTTTTTAGAAAATTAAAGAAATTCCCTGACTTTTCCCTGATAGTTAGACACCCTGTTAACGTAAAAAATAGTATAATTTTTGTTAAGTTAAGTACACAGTACTTTTGGTCTGTTAAAAAGTGAATGAGTAAATATAAATAACTGTAAATGAAGAAAAAAAAAACTAAAAATGAAAACTTACTCAAGCCAACCATTTTGTCAGGAACTCTAATGTCTTCGTTGCAAATACCACCCAATCCAACAGAAGGTGGAGGAGATTGTGCGGATCTAATTTGAATACTTGGATCTGGAATAGCGATTGCTGGACCACCACGAATACCAGCTAAAGGATCCGCTACAAGTGGTGCCATTTTTTTGGCCTCCGGTTCTACAAAAATTCATAAAACAGAGGGGATGGCGGACATAGTTTAAAAAAATTTTTTTTTATATATTAATTTTCACAAACAAATATTATATTATTGTTTCTTTTTTGATATCCATAGCAAGAATTGCAATTCTCACTTGTTTTCTTTTAAAAAGCATATATAGAGACACAAAATACAATTATCATAAATGTATAAAATAAATGCAGATAAATGGCACATTTTCAATATATGACACAATAAATAAAGAGTACAACGAATAAATAAAAAATCGATAATAATAATATAAATATACAATTCATAAAATCAAATTATAGATATATATATATATGGTTACATGTAATAAAAATGAAATTATATATGGTACATATTATTATCAAATGAGATGAAAAATTGTAAATTGCATATTATAGAAAACTATTAATATATACACATTTTTATATTAGTAAATATAGGTATATATATAAATCTAGACGCATGATATTCTTAAAAACTATCGATATCAATAATTTTTTTTTTTCACTTCAATATTAAATTTCACGCAATGTTTAACCAATATTGAGAAAAAAATGTGTAATGTTTGCTTGGGATTTTTTTTTTTTACATAAATTTTACCTGCACTGTCTTCCAGTGGACGTTTTAATTTTCCATCTTGATTATTTTGTGTGCCTCCAGGATTGATTTTGGCTGCAATCTGTAATTTGTATTTAAAAAAGACATGACGAGATACAAATCATTTATAATAAATTTCCATTATACTAATACAATTAATGTTCAATTAAATGTAAATATTTTTTTTAGATTCAATAATGCGATTAATTATAAATAATTCAACAATTACTGTAAATCAATTATTATTTTTTTTTTACATGGTACATTATGAAATTTTTTTTAATAAATTCGTAAATTATATAAAATTACAAAATGATTTTATATAAGTTTACATGTAAAATTACACTAATATGTAATTTCATAAAAAAAGGAAAAGTTTTCAAAAAAATTATAACTATTTAAAAAAAAATTAAAAAACTTTATCTTTAAATTTATAAAAAAAAATATTTATTTGATTCAAATACTCGATTTCATGACTAATTATCAAATAAATTATAATACTTGAACCAAATAAATTTTATTTGAATTTTAATTTGTATTTGAAACAAATATCATCTCAAATAAATATTTATTTGTTAATAGTCAATTAATCAATTATTTGAATCAAATAAATTTTTTTTCAGTTTATTTAATAAAAGCTTAATTTGAGAACACGTGCTTAAACAATATATATACAGGGTGTTCCAAAAGTATGAAAACTTGCAAATATCTCGAAAAGTAACAAAGCTGAAGTACGCAACGTTTATGATAAACGATTTTTAAAGAAATAATTTTTAAAAATGAAAAATTCTATAATTTTTTGCCTAAAAACAATTTCTTGTAGTTTTCATTAATCAACAAATTATAAAAAAATATTTTTTAGGCAAAAAATTATAGAATTTTTTATTTTAAAAAATTATTTCTTTAAAAATCGTTTATCATAAACGTTGCGTACTTCAGCTTCGTGAAAAGTACGAATTTTTGTAAAAAAATGTTCAAGACAAAAGTTGTTCCAAACAAAAAGATGTACATCTTTGAAACCAAAAAATTGGGCCCGGAGACCAATGTTGGGCCCTACAATGAAAAAAATGGTTTTCTTAAATGAGACCACTAATTTTCAGTATCAAATTCGTAATCCCCATGAAATTCTCCGTTCAGATATGTGGTGTAAGTGCCCAAAATATTGGGCCCAATCCAAGATATTGGCTCCAAAATTTATCAACAGATAAATAAATTTTAAAAAATCGCATCTTGGTTGGGATTTTGAGATCACAGGATTAGAAATTGGAAGCTAATTTTCAAATTAGGCATAGAGCCCAATGTAAGATTCTGCAGCCCAATGTGAGGGCCCAATATTTTTGGAATTTGTACCACAAGTCCAGAATTTCAGAACGATTACGAAATTGAAGGAAACTAATTTTTTTTACGGTAGGCCTAACATTGGGCTGCGAAATCTTACATTGGGCTCTGTGCCCAATTTGAAAAGTATCTTTGAATTTCTAATCTTGTTACCCCAAAGACTCCAAAATATGCGATTTTATAAATTTATTTATTTGTCAAAAAATGTCGAGCCCAATCCCAGTCAGTGGGCCCAATATTTTTTGGCTTTTGTACTACAAGTTTAAACCCAGAATTTCATAACGATTCTGTAATGGATACTGAAAATTAGTGGGTTTTATTTAAACAACTAATTTTTTTTTAATGTGGGCCTCACAATCTTACATTGGGCTCTGTGCCCAATTTGAAAATTAGCCACGAATTTCTAATCCTGTGACCCAAAAAACGCCTAAAGATGCGATTTTTTAAATTTATTTACTTAACGAAAAATGTTGGGCCTAATCCCAGACATTGGGCCCAATATTTTTATCATTTTTACTATACAAGTCTAAACCCACAAATTCATGGGGATTACAAATTGGATACTGAAAATTAATGGGTTTTATTTAAGACAACTAATTTTTTTTTACTGTGGGCCTCACATTGGGCCGCGGAATCTTACATTGGGCTCTATGCCCAATTTGAAAATTAGCTTTCAATTTCTAATCCTGTGATCTAAAAATCCCTCCAAGATGCGATTTTTTAAAATTTTATTTATCTGTTGATAAATTTTGGACCCAATATCTTGGATTGGGCCCAATATTTTGGGCACTTATACCACATGTCTGAACGCAGAATTTCATGGGGATTACGAAATTGATACTGAAAATTAGTGGTCTCATTTAAGAAAAACACTTTTTTCATTGTAGGGCCCAACATTGGGCTTCGGGCCCAATTTTTTGGTTTCAAAGATGTACATCTTTTTGTTTGAAACAACTTTTGTCTTGAACATTTTTTTACAAAAATTCGTACTTTTCGAGATATTTGCAAGTTTCCATACTTTTGGAAATGTATATTCCCTGTATATTCAAGCGCACAATAAGTTCGGGGAACGCAAATGAGAAATATAAGATGAAAAAGAGGTTCTTTTATATTTCACGCTTTATTACGTTCGGAAACAAATTTTTCGTATTTATTTTGTGTTGGTCTCTAATTATAATTTATGTGACAATAATTTAAAATTATAAAATTACACAAATATTTTATTATAATATGATCATTTTATTTTTTGTTTATTTTATTTTTAAATTTAAATAATTATAGAATTAATTATGAAATAGAATTTCCGTTTCTTTCTTTCTTTTTTTTTTTTGAAAATATCTGAAAAGAAACGCTTCATCTCAGAAATCGATTAGTGAGTACCTATACTATAATATTAAAAAAAAATCTAACAATAGTGTAGTAACCTAATTAAAATTCAAACAATACACACAAACAATGAACTGTGAAATAAACCATGTTCTTTTTCCTTGCAAATAGAACTTTGTGGAGCGATACATCAATATCTATATATATATATAGTATAGCGAATGCTTGTTTGGAAAAAAAAAAGTTGATTTTTAGGTCGATCAGATCAGTGTTGTATAAATATATAAAAGAAAAAAAAATTAAACCATCACTTTGTTATTCGCCTCCATATTTCTGTTAATGCAAAACATAAAAAATGACAGTCACTAAATTTAGGGTGATTTTTTTACATATTTCTTTCTTTTTTATTATATTAAAAAAAAAACAGAGGGGAACTTTTGCGAATGTCTCCGAATTGAACGGACATTGGCTGTTTGGCAGACATTGGCGCCCATTGGAAAAAAAGAGAACATTGAGTCGCCAAAAAAAAAAAAAAAAATACGTTGCGGCAATTATTGGAATTGCAAAAAATATGCCTGGTTTTTTCTTTTCTTGTTCATTATAAAAAAAAGAAAGAAAGAAATTTGCAAATACATACCTGTTTGGCGCGCTGTAATGCAGCGGCAAATGCCGAACTCTGGGAGAAATTTTGAGGCGGAGCGACCGCTGAATAATCATTCATGTTGAACCATGAAGGGGTTAACTGTTACAAAATTGTCCTTTCTTCGCTCTAAATGAGCCTTTCGTCAAACAGATTTCAGTTGTTTCCTTGAAGAGCCCTTGCAATACACAATTTTCGATCACTATTTGTTATATAGTTACTTTTATTAATTACACAAAATCTGGTTTACGAGCGAAAAGAAACCATTTGGCGATGGGAGAAGGCGCAAGCGTCTGGCCACGAAATATATATATAGAGAGAGAGGAAGGATGGGCATTTTTTTTTTTTATAAATTTAGTTCCACGAATTGACAATAGTCTGGCGCGAAAAGTGAAATATTTAAATTAAATAAATAAATTTTTTTAAAAGAAAAATATTATTTTATATTTCAAATAATTAATTTAATTACACAATTTTCTTTTTATTTTGCAAAAGTTTATAATTTTAATAATGTGTGTGAATTGACAATGTATAATATCCGGTCTGAACCAATCAAAATGAGAAACGTATAATTATAAAGTTGCCAACTTCAGAGTTATTGACAAGCAGACGACAAATAACCTTAAATTTTGTTTATTTGAGAATAAATTTATTTTAAAAACTTTTGTTTACTAGATTTAATGTATTTTTTTTGTAAATATTGTAGTAATAAATAATAATTGTTTTTATAGTTTTAATTTGAAGTATTTCTACATTAAACGAGAGATTTGATGGCTTTTTCCCAAACAAACTCACGAGGTAGGACACACTTTTTTTTCATTATTGTTTCTTATTTTAAGAATAAAAAAATAAAATTTAAATAAAATTTTATTAGAACTACAAAATAGAAAAATTTTGGAAGAATTACAACTAAAGAAGCAGATGTTACTTAAACAAGGTGTAACGACAAATTTAGGTTCTACATTGACATCAACAGCCGGTTCTGCAACTACCGTGGTAAATAATTTCTTAAATTCTGGTTTTTTTAAATTATGTGTTAAAATTAAAATTTTTGAAAAATTGTTTTTAAAAAAAAAAAACATTGATTTATTTTTAATTAGCCTGCAACACAAACAAGCGATGGAGTGACAATAAGCGCTTCTCAAAGAGCAGCGCTTCACAATGCACATTCAAATTCATATGGATTTTTTGTAACGCAAGATTCCTCATTTGGAAATTTAATATTACCAGTATTACCACGATTTGACAACAAATAAATCGCCTAATTAAAATATTTTTTTTTACAAAGAAAATACAGATTTAAAAAAAAACACTTTGAGATAAAGGACTTTTTCTAAACAAATAGATATAAAATAAGGAAAAGAAATAATGGCCAGATTACGTTTAAGAGAATTAGAGGAATATCTAGAGGAATTGGAAGTTTTTGAAAAACCAAAGATATTACTTGAACAATATCCAACAAGTGGTCATATTGCTGCACATATTTTGTATACTGCCCAATCGCAATTTAACGATTTGGAAAATTGTCTTGTCGCCGATTTAGGAACAGGATGTGGAACTCTTGCATTGGGAGCACGAATGCTTGGCGCATCAAGTGTTGTTGGCTTTGAAATTGATGATAATGCATTAAAAATAATGTCCAACAATTGTCAAGAAATGGAATTAAAAATTGAGGCAGTACAATGCGATGTTCTTCAATATTTACCAGGTTCAATTATTATTTTTTTAAATTTTCACTAATTTTCTATTGTGAATATTTTTTTTGTATTTTAATACATTTTTCGAGATATAAAATAAAAATAAAAAAGTATGTATGTTTATTATTTTTATAATTACATTTGTCTTATTACATAAAGTAAATACAAGAGGAATTTGTTATTTTAAATTAGAAAAATTAACTGTTTTATTTTATTTTTTCTTGCAGGAAAGTTTGAAAAATATTTCGATACAGTGATTATGAATCCGCCGTTTGGTACAAAGAAGAATGTTGGTATTGATATGAAATTTTTGGAAATTGCAACAAAACTAGCAACAAAGGCAGTTTATTCATTGCATAAGACAAGTACACGAAATCATGTATTAAAAAAAGGCACACAACTTGGGACAAAGGCAAAAGTTGTCGCTGAATTACGATATGATTTGCCGCAAGTTTATAAATTTCATAAAAAATCATCTGTCGACATCGAGGTAGATTTTATAAGATTTGAATTAAACTCATAAAATTGAGATTCAAAATTTTTTCTTTTTATTCAAATTTAATTCCCTGCGCAAGTGGAAGTTCAGTTCCGTGATTAATTGTTACGGTCGATCGTCTCATATATTGTTTCCAAGAATCGCTACCACTCTCGCGTCCACCTCCCGTTGATTTTTCACCGCCAAATGCGCCACCAATTTCCGCTCCACTTGTACCAATATTTACATTCACAATTCCACAATCTGATCCAAGGGGTCCAATCCACTTAAAAAAAACACACATTAATTTTTCAGAAAATTTTTCAAAAGTAATTGCAGGCCTCGGATTATACGACTTTTTTCGATTTATTTGAATAAGATGCGACTTTTTCGACTTTTTTTTTTTTTTTACATTTTTTCTAAATTTTTTAAACAAAATACGTCTTTTTTTAGTATACAATGCAGATCTTTATCAAATCTTCTTTATTTCAATTATTTTACTAAAATTTTTCTCTAAATTAATGATTTTTTTTTAATAATTTTAATGAAATTTTCCATAAATTCAATTATTTTAAATTATTTTTTAATTAAAAATTTTATGAAATTCAACAATTGTTTACAATTTAAAAGAAAAATCAAATAAAATTACAAATAATTTCAATTTAAAACTTTATTAAATTTTTTGAAATTTAATAAATTTCTAATATAATTCTTCTGAAATTCAATTATTTTTTAATGATTTTTATAATATTCTTCGAAAATGCATTTTTCAATTAAAAACTTTTGAAATTGAATTTTTTTTATTTTCTGTAATTTCTAATAAATTCTTCATCAACAGAAATCACAAAAAAAAAATTTCTATTAAAAATCACTTCAAGTTCAATTAATTAATTTAAAAAATCTGAATTGTAAATCTTTGAAAATTCAATTACTTTAAAAAAAAAGGTTAACTGAAATTATTTGATAAATTATTTTCAATTTTGTAAAATTTAATTATTTCTAAAAATTTCAATTATAAATCCTCTAAAGTTCAATTATTTTTAATAGTTTTAATATTTCTTTAAAAATTCAATATTTAAAAAAAAGTTTCAAATAAAAACTCTAAAATTGAATTGTTGTTAGAATTTTTTTTAAAGGACTTTTTTCCGCCTTAAAGTCGATCCGAGGGCTGTAATTGAAATATTAGATACTATTATTATTATCATAAAATTAAAAAAGAATATTCCCCCAAAAACCATTAGTTCGACTTTTCAGTGAATCAAATTTTCTGAAATCAAATTTCTATTTAGCCGAATTTTATAATAGAAATTCTGCTAAAATGATAATTTTTTCAAATAAAAATTCGGTCGAATAAAATTTTTAACAAAAAAACATTTTTCTCGGGCTCTTTTTGAACGATTTGCAAAAAAAAAGTAATTAAGCAGCTCCTTATTCGCCTTGAAAGATAGTGTATTAAAAATTAATTTTTGCTTTAAAAATTGTTATTACTTTTTTTTAAATTATTTAATTTTTATGCGATAATAAAAAAAAAAGTTTTCTTTATTCAATTATGTAAAATCTAAATATATAATCGCATTCGTCAACATGTTATTGAGAATAAAATAGTTGAAAAAAAAAATTCCAAAATTTTACCTTGCACAATTTAAAAAATTATTGAAAACTTCTAATTAAATGATTAATAATTAGTTATTAGTTAATTAACTAATAAATTAATTGTTAATAATTTAATTAATTTAAATTGAAAAATAAATTTTTCTATAAACCCAGTTAAGGCCATCCGGGAGAAAATAATGGTTTTGTAGATTTCTTCTCATTTGAAAAAAATAGAATATTTTAGGTTGTAATTTTTTGGAAATAATAGAGGAAGGTACCCTGCCAGGGGCTCTTCTCGGAATTTTGCATAATCTTGATAAATAATTATTGAAAAAAATGTTTAAACATTGGCAAAAAGGGGTTTCGTAAATTACTTCTCATCTTTAAAGGATAAAGTATTTCTAGTTGGCATTTGGAGGAATAATAGAGGAAGGGTCACTGAGTGGGGCTCTTCTCCATTTTTGCAATAATATTTTGAGGAAATAATTTTATTAAAGATTTAAAGTGGAGTAATTTGGGGTAAGTTAGTTCAGCAGCGGCCACTAGCTAGAATTGGCGCCACCTTCTGGGCCACTGACACATAGATTCAATGTCTGTGTGCTCGCCTCCCCTACTGTCCCCACTTTTATCAAAAATCAAACTTTTATAATCACGATTTTCAATACTTTTTTATAAAATTACTTGTAAAAATGGAGATGATTCTTAATCAGCTCGCCCTCATCTAATTAATCCGACAAATCCGAACAAGATATTTCAAGTTATTTACGAGTAATATCTCGCGCGGGAAAACACTTTTAGGTTAGGGATTTTTCCCGGATGGCCTTAAGGCCATCCGGGAGAAAATAATGGTTTTGTAGATTTCTTCTCATTTGAAAAAAATAGAATATTTTAGGTTGTAATTTTTTGGAAATAATAGAGGAAGGTACCCTGCCAGGGGCTCTTCTCGGAATTTTGCATAATCTTGATAAATAATTATTGAAAAAAATGTTTAAACATTGGCAAAAAGGGGTTTCGTAAATTACTTCTCATCTTTAAAGGATAAAGTATTTCTAGTTGGCATTTGGAGGAATAATAGAGGAAGGGTCACTGAGTGGGGCTCTTCTCCATTTTTGCAATAATATTTTGAGGAAATAATTTTATTAAAGATTTAAAGTGGAGTAATTTGGGGTAAGTTAGTTCAGCAGCGGCCACTAGCTAGAATTGGCGCCACCTTCTGGGCCACTGACACATAGATTCAATGTCTGTGTGCTCGCCTCCCCTACTGTCCCCACTTTTATCAAAAATCAAACTTTTATAATCACGATTTTCAATACTTTTTTATAAAATTACTTGTAAAAATGGAGATGATTCTTAATCAGCTCGCCCTCATCTAATTAATCCGACAAATCCGAACAAGATATTTCAAGTTATTTACGAGTAATATCTCGCGCGGGAAAACACTTTTAGGTTAGGGATTTTTCCCGGATGGCCTTAAATGAAAATTTTATTTATTCAAGTTTATAAAAATTCGACTAAATAAAAAATTTTACTTTAATTTATAAAAATTTGATCTTATAAATTTCGAAACACTATGGAAATTCGAAGAAATGTGAATTTGTTCTTTTCCATATTGGCAATAAAAGTTTAATTAAAAATTTTTTTTTACAATTTTTTGTCAATTTCAATGTGAAATTTTTCTTTTTTTAACATACCTGAAATACGTTTTGAATATTATTTGTAAAAAGAGAACTACTAAGTCCCTGTTCAACATTATTGTTGAGTGTAATTGCCTCATCAAGTGAATTGAATTCCAAAATATAAACAATTGGTGCAAATGTTTCTTGTTGAACAATTGGATCATTTGGCGATAAACCAGATATTATTGTTGGCTCTACATAAAAACCTGATCTCTCAATTCGCTTTCCTCCAAATTCCACAGTTCCACCATTTTCTTGAGCAATTTTCACCGATTTCTGCGTGTAAAAAGATTTAAAAAAATTATTTTTCATAATTATATTTTTAAATTTTTTTATTTTTATATTAAAAAACAATTGAATATATACATTTATAATGCGAGTAGCATAAAATTGAAATAAATATTTATATTTTAATAATATTGTAATAAAAAAAAAGACAAACCTCAAAGGCATCGAGAGCTTGTTGATTATGAAGCGGTCCATAAAGAACTGAATCTTCCATTGGATCGCCAATTCTTTTGAAAATACTTTTGAAGGCAATTTTGAGTTTTTCGAGAAATTCATTTTTAATTGATTTATGTAAAATTAATCGTCTCGTTGTTGTGCACCTTTGGCCAGCAGTTCCAACGCATGAGAAAACTGCAGCTCTTATTGCCATTTCTAAATTTGCATCGGAAGCAACTGAAATAACAAGATTTACAATTTTTAATTTTATGATTTTCTAAATTATAATAAATATAATATTTTTTTTATCTCCTTTTTAATTTTTAAATTATTTTATAAAAAAGAAATAGGTTTAATTTTTGGTTTTTTCATAATTCGATAGGTTCGAAACTAATTGAAAAGAAACATATGTAAAAGCAAATAGTTGCCTTTTTTTTATAAAATTATATTATTTTTTTTAAAAATAAAATTAAATGAATTTAAAATATTTACCAATAAGTGCATTATTGCCACCTAATTCAAGTAAACATTTTCCAAATCGATTTTGAACTTTGAGGGCAACTTCTTTTCCTACTTTTGAGCTTCCAGTGAACGATACAAGTGGAACTCTGTAAATATAATTTTTTTTTGTATTTAAAAATAGGATTTAATTTAATTAATAATAAATTCTCAATTGATTTTATTATTATTTCTAATTTTCACCGTTTATCATTAACTAGAGCTTCTCCAACATCGGCTCCTCCAGTTATTAAAGAAGCAACAGATCCGGGAATTCCATTTCGTTCTAAAACTCCGCTAATTATTTTTGTCGTTGCAATTGAAACCAAAGGTGTTGAAGGCGCTCCTTTCCATACAACAGTGTTTCCGCAAATCATCGCTATCGCACTATTCCAACCGTAAACCTATACAATCAATAATTTTTTTTTTTTAATTTCAAATTAAAATTCCAAATAATAAAAAAAATATGGTTTCTACTTTTTTTCATTATTTTTAATATGAAAATCAAATTTATCCTTGGAAATATATATTTTTTTTAAATTTATATTTAATACAATTTCTTTAACCCTTTTTTTTGTTTTGAAACAATGTTTCGATAGAGAAAAAAAAATAAATATTTTGCTTTTGAAAAAAAAATTTTAAAAAACGTGTTTTTTCTTGTAAATTAATTATTATTATAAAAAGTTGAATTCATACCGCAACGGGAAAATTGAATGCAGAAATAACGCCAATAACGCCTAAAGGATTCCATTTTTCAAGTAAAGCATGATCCTTTCTTTCTGATGGAAAAATACCACCAGCGAACATTCTTGATAATCCCACAGCATAATCACAAATATCGATATATTCTTGAACTTCGCCGATACTTTCCGGTAATATTTTCCCTGAAAATATTTCCATTCCATTTTTTATTTTTTTTTTTTTTGAAAATTAAGATTGCAATTAATTTTTAAATCTTAATGAAACTTGCCCATTTCAAGGGAAACTAATTGACCGAGAGGTCGTAGATTTTTTCTAAGCTCATCTCCAATTTGACGAACAATTTCACCTCGTGCTGGAGCTGGAAGTGAAGCCCATTGAGGCCAAGCTTTTCTAGATTTTGTGATTGCATTTGCAACTTCCTCTGGAGTTGATTCACGAATTTTTGCTATTACTTCTCCACTGGCCGGCGAAATAGATTCAATTATCTAATGAAAATATTTTTATTTATTTATAAAAATTTTAGATTTACTTTTTTTTTTTTTTTAATTGTTTTTGAATATTCTCACTTTTCCAGTTCCTCCCCAATTTCCGTCGTACAATCCTGGATTTTCCGTTGAGAGACCAAGTTGCTTTAAAAATCCATATTTTGAATCATTGACTAAACTTCTTGTAAATTGCATATTTGTGGGTGAAATTTTTTTCAATAAATTTTGATACATATTTTTCTTTTTTTGGTCGACACACTCAATGTCGAACAATAACTGCCGAGAGAGAATTTGTGTATTTGTATTATTCACTTTTACTAACAAGGCTTATCTTTGACCCTCTTTTATCAGTGAAGAATGGAGATTTTAGATTGTACAAGACACGAATAAATATAGACATTTATTTAAGATAAAAAAAAAAAAATTGCCAGCGCCACTTTTATGTTATAAATCATTCTTGAATTTAAAAAATAAATTACATATTTTTATCAATAAAAATCCCCCCCCAAAAAAAACGATCAGCTATAGAAGTAAAACTTCAACAAATTATGTGTTCGACGCTCTCAACGTGCGCTATATTTATTACCAACAAAAATCATTAAACAATATTACAATTATTAATTTTTAGAAAAAAGGTAGATTATGCGATTAAAAAAAGTTTAATTTTGCAAAATTATGCAGGCGTTTAAAAAAATTAATTTGGAATATATGTATTTTTAATTGCTATTTTTTTCATATCGAATTTTAAAAATCATGCCGAAACAATAGTGACTTGTACTAATGAGTTAAGGACGTTTATCCACGGAAATGCAGACCTCTAGAAAAAAAAAATTAATTAATATTTATATAATTAAAATAATATTATTAATTGTACTTTCTGAAAGATGAGATATTAATTTTCAAGAAAAAAAATTTTAAACCTGCAAAATTTATTTATTTATACAATTTGCATACGATAACATTTTTTTTGTTGTATCGATTCTACAGAATTTTTTTAAAACTGATTTGATTTCAATAAAATATATGGCTTATTTTCTTCAGAAAATGATTCTCTACAATTTCACCGTGGGGATTTTTAAAAAAGCAAGCCATTTGGCAAATACAGCTATTTGTTTAAAAAAATTCAAATTTTTCTTTTAAACAAATAGTTCTATTTTCCAAACGGCTTACTTGTTTAAAACTCCCCACGGTGAAGTTGTAGAGAATCATTTTCTGAAGAAAATAAGCCATATATTTTATTGAAATCGAATCATTTTTAAAAAAATTCTGTAGAATCGATACAACAAAAAAATGTTATCCTATTCAAATTGTATAAATAAATAAATTTTGCAGGTTTTAAATTTTTTTTCTTGAAAATTAATATCTCATCTTTCAGAAAGTACAATTAATAATATTATTTTAATTATATAAATATTAATTAATTATTTTTTTCAAGAGGTCTGCATTTCCGTGGAGTAAACGTCCTTAATAAGAAATAAAAAGAGGATATATTTTTCAGAAAAAGAAAATAAATTGGTACGAAATGAGTATTCATTCATGATTAATTTATCTAAAAAAATTTTTTAATTTAATTAAGGCCATCCGGGAAAAATCCCTAACCTAAAAGTGTTTTCCCGCGCGAGATATTACTCGTAAATAACTTGAAATATCTTGTTCGGATTTGTCGGATTAATTAGATGAGGGCGAGCTGATTAAGAATCATCTCCATTTTTACAAGTAATTTTGTAAAAGAGTATTGAAAATCGTGGTTATAAAAGTTGGATTTTTGACAGAAGTGGGGACAGACATTGAATCTATGTGTCAGTGGCCCAGAAGGTGGCGCCAATTCTAGCTAGTGGCCGCTGCTGAACTAACTTACCCCAAATTACTCCACTTTAAATCTTTAATAAAATAATTTCCTCACAATATTATTGCAAAAATGGAGAAGAGTGATGAACTCAGTGACCCTTCCTCTATTATTCCTCCAAATGCCAACTCGAAATACTTTATCCTTTAAAGATGAGAAGAAATTTACGAAACCCCTTTTTGACAATGTTTAAACATTTTTTTTAATAATTATTTATCAAGATTATGCAAAATTCCGAGAAGAGCCCCTGGCAGGGTACCGTCCTCTATTATTTCCAAAAAATTACAACCTAAAATATTCTATTTTTTTCAAATGAGAAGAAATCTACAAATCCATTATTTTCTCCCGGATGCCCTTAAAAAAGCACTATTTTGGCAATTTTGAGTCAAGTATGCGGTCATTATGCAAAAAAAAGTAAAATTATGCAATGACATATAAATTATGTAATATTATGCGCTTTAAAAACGTATTGCAGAAGATCCAGAATACAAACTAACACAATAGTATTATAGTTTTACTTGATTTTAGAAAATTATGCGATCGCATAATCTACCCTTCTCTATTAATTTTTAATCAAAGATTAGTACAAACATTTTTTTTCCTTCCTTTTTTTGAAATTGAATTTTTACTACCATTTTATCAAAGTAATTCTTTTCTGTATATATAAGAGAGGCTCCATGTAAAATCAACATATCGTTGACATTTACCTTACTATGTAGATAATATGTATATATATACATATACCAAATTTTCAAATGGAATAAAAATATTATTATCACCTAATACTTATGTATAAGAATGTAAAAATAATGCAAGGAACTCAAGATTCACACGTAAAAAAGATTTGTTGGCCCTGAAAAGGGCCGATTGTTGTAGAGAGGATGTGGGTAGAAATTTAAGCTTTCTTTTCGGTCTTCTTGGGCAAAAGAACAGCCTGGATGTTGGGAAGAACACCACCCTGAGCGATGGTGACTCCAGAAAGAAGTTTGTTTAATTCCTCGTCATTCCTGATGGCAAGTTGGAGATGACGGGGGATGATTCTGGTCTTCTTGTTGTCGCGAGCGGCATTTCCTGCCAACTCCAAAACTTCAGCAGCCAAGTATTCCATTACTGCTGCGAGGTAGACTGGAGCTCCAGCACCAACTCGCTCAGCGTAGTTTCCCTTGCGCAAGAGACGATGGATACGACCAACTGGGAATTGAAGTCCAGCTCTGTTGGAACGAGTCTTTGACTTTCCCTTGACTTTGCCTCCTTTTCCACGTCCGGACATTTTTTCGATTTAGTTTAGTAGCAACGTAACGAACAACTCAAAGGTTGGATGACTAATACAAAAATTTCAGTAAAATCGACTATTTATGCACTTCCATTAGGGTCCCCCACCACTATTCCCCTACTTCAATACTGTGACTGGTAGACGTTTACAGCGATTGCACGAACCAATCACAATGTAGCATAGCCACTGCGACAGAACATAAAAGAAACCCAGTTTGTGGTCGGAGTATCAATTCACTCCGTATTCTCATTGAGTTTACACGTGTTTGTCACTGAAAATCCAAAATGCCTCCTAAAGCAAGTGGAAAAGCTGTTAAAAAAGCCGGCAAGGCTCAAAAAAATATCACCAAGACTGATAAGAAAAAGAAGCGCAAGAGGAAGGAAAGCTATGCCATCTACATCTACAAAGTGTTGAAACAAGTCCATCCCGACACTGGAGTCTCCAGCAAGGCCATGAGCATCATGAACAGCTTCGTCAACGACATCTTTGAACGTATCGCTGCCGAATCTTCCCGCTTGGCCCACTACAACAAGAGGTCCACCATCACCTCCCGGGAAATTCAAACCGCTGTCAGGCTTCTCCTTCCTGGTGAACTCGCCAAGCACGCCGTCTCTGAAGGAACAAAGGCTGTTACTAAGTACACCAGCTCCAAGTAAATCTAAATCTTCATCTCTCAGAAAACAATCGGCCCTTTTCAGGGCCAACAAATTTTTTTACGAAGGAATTAATTTTTTCTTTAACATTTTTAAGGTAATATTAGTTTATTTATTTTTACCACCATTGTATTTTAAATTTCTCATGGTAAATAGCTACACTTGTCGTCAAGAATTTCAGGTATGATAGGTATATTTATATAATAAAATCAATCCCCAATCATTGAGAAGTAAATTCTCTAAAGTAAGAAAAGGAAAACATTTTTAAATTATTCTCTTTTTTGGAGAGGCAGGTAAAAGTACCGAAAAAGAAAACCTTTTTATATTGTAAGTCAAAAATAGTCTTTGGTGTTTTATGACAACCATATATGCGGCTTATGCTTGAGTATCCTTCTTTGGGAAAATCCAAGAAAGGATTTTAAAAAAAGTATTTCATAGCCGATATTTAAAGCTTTGTGTTAACAGTACTTGACATTCGTTGATTTAATGATGCATGTCCGTATTTGGTTAACGAGTATCTCAATATACTTAACATTTCATTATTTAAATTTAGCGCGATATTTCGTTAGTTCGAGATATCGAAAAGGAATTCTTCTTCTTCTTCTTCCCTTTGAATGACTTCTTGACTAAGCAAACTATCAGAACAATGAACAAAGGTAGAATCAGTTGAAGTTAATTTTAAAGTAAAAATCTATGTATCCTCTGCCTCCACATGTAAACCGAGTGAGTTAGGTCCCTTCCACAACACATCAGTCTTTGCGCCGTGTATCCAGCTTTAGGTCATTTTGGTGTTTGAGCACCAGGTATCTTAGGGAGCGGAGTGGATGGTCAAAAAGCTCAATCCACTCCTCAAAAATCCAGACCAAAGCCATGAATTTAGACAAATAAGCCCCCAGTGCATAAAAAGGAACCCAATTCCCTGACCAGTTCTGCATCCGGGTTAAATATTAAGTCAGTTACCCGGAAATTTCTTAGTGTCAGGCTGATCCCTGGGCACTTACGAGACAAATAATTAAACAAATTCACTCTATGAGGTGTCATAATTGGACAATCATAAATCAGATGGTCCAAGTCCTTCCAATCGGAACCACATGAACAACCAGGAGCTATATATCGAAAAAGAATTCGAGCAAGAATAACATAATAATCGCTTGTTATGCTGTGGTATGTATACTTTTCACGGAAAAAAAGACGATCGGGCTTTGAAGCCCAAACAACAGCATTTTCACGAGAAGGGCGTATACATCTTCGAAAGCGAGCGTAATATAAAATTAAATAAATAGAGGTCTCTGTAGAAGAAATTCAAATTGAAAGAAAAAAATAATTATAAAAATTTAATTGATTTCTAATTAATTATTTTTTTAATTATTAAATAGACTATTAATTAATTATTACTAATTTATTAATTACTAATTAATTAAATGAAAGTTAAAAAATAAATTATTGTTTAATTAAAATTTAAACAACTAAATATTCAATTAATTAGTTAATTAATTTTAAAAAAAAATTGTTAAAAAAATTATTTCCTGCTCCAAAAAAATTG